CCCAACAACCCTGCAAGCCAGGTGCTGTTATTATACCCATTTTACAGTTGAGGAAACTGAGGCAAGCAGAGGTTAAATAATTTACCTAGAGTCACACAGCAAATAAGTATCTGGGGCCAGATTTGACTTCAGTCCCTAGCTTCCTAAGAAAGAATTACCCTTTACTTCTGCTCTTTATTCGTCTTGAGTAGAAACACATTTTGCTGCTTAGTCACACGCTGTAAGATATTACCTTAGAATTTACCCAGTATTTATCTTGTATGTACATTCGGTAGTTGTTTGCATGTTGTCTCCCCTATTCTGTTAGGGAAATTAGAAATTAAAGCATGAGTTCCTAGAGGTCAAAGCAGTTTGGGCCTTTCTTTTTATCCCCAACGTTAGGCTGGGGGCCTGACACAGAGGAAGCGCTTAATAAATGCTTGTGACTTGGTCCGAATTGTTTACTTATCCTTTATTTTATGCGCGTGCTTTGTAATTCCAACTATACGGAAAGCTGGGAGACAGAGAATATGTTCTATGTTCGTTCCGTGTTCCCCATGACTGTACTGGATAAATACCAGATGTGGCATAGATACTACGGGAAAAGCCTATGTTGCAGAGGAAAGAGCCCCAGACCCTAAGACAGGAGCCGCGGGTTCGAATCCGAGTTGTCAGGCTGGGCTATGCCTCCTTAGGGCGCCAGCGAGTCCGTGCACCAGGCAGTGAGGTGGGGGTGGTCCGCACTCTGTCAATCATGCTCGGGAATAAGAAAGGTTCTGTCTTTGAGAACGGCTGCTCCTGCCATGATCGTTGGGCTAATCTGTGAATCTGCCACTACCGCTACGTCGGACCTCCAGCTAAGGCAGCTGGAAGCCTATAGGAGCATCTGGTCCACGGCGGCACCTCTGCTCTTTCTGCCTGGCAACTGCAGACGCTCCGGTGCTGCGATGGCGCATGCGTAGGAGATGTCCGCGTTAGTCCATTCGATGCTGGCGGAGTTAGAAGACATAAAAGGTTGCCTCAAAAAAGTGCGGGCCGTGACGTCATCAGTCCAAATAGGAAGAAGCTTCTTCCGTCCTTCCTTTTTCTTGCCTAGGTACTATCTGCTCCCCGCTTACACGTTCTCCTTTCTGCTGGTGCTAGGCCCTTACCTTCCCCCATCCGTTTCCTAAACCTCCCCTCCTCCCACCCTCTGTCCCCCCACCACGTTCACTTTTCTTTGGGCTCTGGCGGGGGCTTGCAGGCCCTACTGGTCAATCAGACATGCCTCACGCGTCACGTGACTCCCACCATAGTATATCTCCCCCCCCCCCCCCCCCCCCCGCTGTTGGACTGAAGGCCCTGGCCTAAGGCTCCAAAGCACGTATTTTACTTTGTAGGAACATGGGACTTTTTGTGGTACAACCGTGTCGTTTGACAATTGGGGGAAATTGAGACCTTAGACATATTAAGTGCCTTGTCGAAAGTCATACTACATACATACCATACATACATCTAGTGTGTAGTAGAGCCAGGTTCTAATTCTGTTCCTCACCCCCACCTGTGTTGCTGCTTCTGTGAGTGACAGGAAGTGGGAATGGAATTTCCACTAGAGTCCCCATTCATCCCTGTATCGAGTGGGTGTTATGTGAATCCTTGTGCACTGCCCTTGGCACAGAGTCTGACCTCTTCCAGTATATGGAAGTTGGCAGGGGAGACTTTTCCTTATCTTGCCAGGGACCGGGCCTCCCCCCTACTTCCCTGCTGTCTTCCCAGTTCTCCTACCAATCTTCTTCTATTGACGCCTTTATGTGTCTTCCCCCATTAGACTATAAACTAGAGGGTATAGGTTGGCTTGCTTGTATGTGTACCCCCAGTGCTTAGTACTATGCACATGATAAGGGTAAATGCTTTATCTTTCTTGCCTGAATGCTGGAGAGTGAAGAGAGACATTGTGAAGAAGGACCCCTGAATTCCATCATTGTGCTACTAGATTTCTCAATTTCAGGTTCACCTAGAGGCTTCCTTTTTCCTCAAGGGTTAGTCTAATGGAGAGAGATATCCTCTCTTCCCCAACCAGAGATTTCATGGTTAACTCATGTAATGTTAGCCTGGAAAGGATCTTATTATGTCATCTAATTACCTACCCTGTACCACCCTTTGTAGAGGTTGAGATTGAAGTGCACTGACTTACAGATGGAAGAGATAGGACAAGGAGAACAGTTTTTTTGAGGGCAGAATGGTATGATTTTCCGGTTACTCAGGTTGTACAATGTTGTAGAGCTAGGGTCATCTTGCCCTGGGGATTTAGCAACTATTCCTCTGCCTGTGATCCCCTTTGGTCTGACTTTAGAAGCTACCCCTACCCAGATCATCTACCACGTTATGCTGACATCATGAATTTAACAGTGAGCACTTGTAATTTGTTCTTGTTCAGTCCAGTCTCATTTCCTCATTTTTGTAATTTCTAGGTTAAGTACTCACAATCTAGACAATACGTGAAGCCAGCAAATGGAACAGTTCTGGTTGCCATGCTGCCAAAAGAATTGCTACTCACCTATGATCTAGAGAAGTTGTAAATCAAAATCCTTCTAGACAGTCTTGGGACAGCAGGGCACAGTTCCAAGATTTGATTTTCCTCATTGTGACTATGGCTACTTCAGAGCCTGGAGATGAAGCCCAGGTACCATTAAATATCATGATTTGTAGCTGATATGCTTCCTTTGAACCAAGCCAGTTCAGCAAAAATTTATTAAATGCTTGTTATGTTCAATTCACAGCGCTGGGGACACAAAGATGAAAAAATGACAGTCCCTACTCTCAAGCTTATATGGAAGTGTGGAATATGACATGTAGAAATGTGACATATGTAGAGATAAACAGAAAACAAGGGAGAGTAAGATGTGGGCATGTTACACAAACCAAATTGCCTTTCATATGAATAATTCAGGACAGGCTGGGGCAGGGTGCTGCCTAAATGGCAGAGTTTTTGCATTCATTGTAGATCCCATCAGGAAGGAAACAAGTTTGAATCCTGTTCTTTCTGTCAAATCTCAAAGCTTGAAGGGATCTCAGGAGTGATGTAGTTCATGAGGAGGTGTTCCTTCTCCCGTATTCCTAAGAAGTGGTCACAATCTTCTACTTAAAGCCCTCCAAAGATTTGGGGAATTGGCTGCTTCCCAAAGCAGCTCATTAGTATGTTCTTTTTTGGATTAAGCTAAATTCTTCCACTACTTCCCCTAGTTTTACCTTGTGAGTGTTCAGAACAAACCTAATCCCTTTCCCATATCACAGCATTTCAAATATCTATCTATAGTCGTAGCTTTGGAGCTAGAAGGGCCCTTAGTGATCATATAGTCTGTACGGTTTACAATTGAGGAAATTAAGGTCCAGACAGTTAAATTATGGCCCATGGTCAATTGCTATCATGTCCCTACTAAGTCTTCTTTCTGCTAAACATACCCAGTTCTTTCAGGTGATACTCTTCTGGCATGGTTTTAGGTCTTCTCATTATTCTGGTGGCCATTTTATGGATTTATCAACCAGCAGCTATTTATTAAGCACCTATTATGCTACAATAATTGCTCTCTTCTTTACTGCTGAATATTCCAAATAAGTCATCTAGGGCTGTTGTGCATCCTCGGTAACTTCCTACAATCTAGCTTCCATCTCTGCCACTCTATTAAAACTGTTTTCTTGAGGTCACCAGAAGAGTGAGCCAAATGAACTTTTCTCCATCTTTATTCTCCTTGATGTCTAAGCTGCTTTTGGCTTTGTTGAACAGCTTTCTTACTTAGAGCCATCTCCTTTCTTGGGTCATTGTGTAACACTTTGCTCTTCTGGTAGTTCTCCTACCACTGAATGCTCCTCTTCAATTTGCAGAACACTTTCCTCCCAGCCTTGCAGTAGGTAGTACAAGTAATACTCTCTCCATTTTATAGATGCAGAAGCAGAGGCTCCAAGAAATTAAGTGACTTGTTCAGTATCATAATAAAAGGCAGAGGAGAGGTGCTAACCCAAAGCTTCTGACTCAAAATCCAGTGTTCACTATACTATTGTGTGTCCCTTTTCCCTAATTTTATGTAAATCATGTAAGCCAAATATTTAATATTTGAGGAGGGAATCCATATACACACATACATATGTCTGTATGTGTATGTATATAAAAAGATGTTGAGGAAAACAGAGAAACTTTCTATAATTTGAGTGACCCAGTCAAGGGTTACTCAAGGCTGTTTTTTTGTTCTCAGAGTAAGGATACCTTTGTAGTGAGGGTGGAGGGAGGAAAGGAAGAGAATGGCTGTCCTTTATATTTTATATTTATGCTCCATAAAAAAGCTCAATCTGTGAACCTCTACTTTTCTCTTTTTCTATTATCTTTTTTAGAAAGCTCATCTATTCCCATAACTTCTACAATCACCTCTATTCTGGCACTTAAATCTAATTTTAGTCCTCAACGCTCCCTTGGATTTCTGCCTTGGATTTCCCCCCATAGGTCAATTCCACCTGTACACCTTGTCATTTCCAACTTACCATATCCAAAACTGAACTTTACTTACTATGAACTTTACTGTTTACAATTTATCTGGAGGTATAGAAAACTGAACATTACTTCCTACTGCTAACTGAACTCACTTTTCAAAACTGAAGACGCTTACTGTGTGCACAGTAAGCATTTAATAAATGCTCTTTTCATTCATTCCCCACTTCTGTTTTTCTGTGGCACTACCATTTCCCCAGGAATTCAGGCTTAAAATTTTTAAATCATTTTTGATAAAGACCTCTTCTTAACTCCTCCATTCTCTGAATATGGGTGGCAATTTGCAAGCTGTTTACACATACTGTCTGTGTGACCCCAAGCAACACATTTCACCACTTAGTGCTTCAGGCCAGAGGAGTGAAACTCAAGTAGAAATGGCCATACATAAGGGATCCCAACAGGTCACATATCGACTGAGAAAACCACATTATTAACATTATGTTTTATTATATTTTTATTTATTCTGTTAAATATTTCCCAAATATATTTTAATCTAGTTCTAGCAGCACTTAGAAAACCACATATTAACATTATGTTCTATTGTATTTTTATTTATTCTGTTAAATATTTCCTAATTATAGTTTGATCTGGTTCCAGTGGCACTGAGAGAATTTGACATTTCTGCTTTAGACAATTTCCTAAGTCTCTAAATTGTAGAGAAGTTACAGACCGGGAGTGACAGAAGGAGGTTCCACACCTGGAGTTTCTATACAAATGAAATCACAGGTCCAGCCCTCACCCCAACTTTATGTAGCCTTTATTCATTTATTCTCTTCATACTCTTCACTCCTTTATGCGTGTTAGCCTTGTCTCCCTCCAAGTAGATTGAGGAGAGGAAACATTTTCCACAGTGTCTGGCAAATAGTAAGTGTCTAATAAATGATTGTTGACTTCAAATTATACATGGTTTGCTCAGTGTCACTGTATGTCTATTGATACTTCAACTAACTCTTTAAGCCTATTCAATAGTTACTAATGGCTGCTTAATTATGCTATGAATATGTATTATTATTCAGAACTTATATTAATTTATAAACACGCTTTATAGGCATGCATTCACCTTCTCCCATCACTTGCTTTCTACTTGTCCAGTTTTGTCTTTGGGAGATGCTCTTCTTTCTTTCGGTCTAAGAAAGAAACATACAAGTGGGCTCTTCTTGCCAGTTTCTTCTTCTTCCTATCCATGCAGCAAGTAAAAGGGAGACTTTTTTTTCCTCTCTAAACAACTGTTGCTGTTTCCTCTTGGCTGAATGCATGGGATTTTAGCAGCATTAGGAGCAGAGTTTGGCCACATCTGGAAAATGGTGCTCTGTGTAATGACAACCAATCTCCCAAGCTTTAGGGACATCAATGCTGCTGCTACCTTTTGTTAGAGACTGGTTCTTCTTGCCTTACCCAACATGTGGTGGCTACAGATGGGAGAGATAAAAAGACGGACATTTTAAAATTCATAAAAAATATGGCATTTCAGAGTTATTATCTAAAATAAGGTAGCTTACCCACCCACACAATTTCCAGCCCCAACCAATGTTATACACTTACTGTATAAGTAAAAGAAAATATTTTAAAATTTGGGAAAATTAGTGTTTTTCTTACTAAATACAAGTATATAGATGATACTGTAACAGTGATAGATTTTTTTTCTAAATAAAAAAAGTGTATCACATCTAATACCAACTGGATTCAAGTGCTGCCTTTGACATATACTAGTCGTATGACCACAGACAAGTCACTTCAACTGTCAGTAATCCAGAGAACTAAGACTACAAGTTACAGATGAGTTGCCCATTTTTATCAATGGAAGCAGTTCCCAACACCAGTGAAATCTCAGGTTCATGCCAACAAAAAACTCTAATATAGTAGCTATTCATTCAAAAACTATACTGAAAAACTGATTTGTTAAACAATTTATTTAGGACCTGTGACTTCATCAGTACAGTACTAAGACACATAGATCATCCCCAGCTCTGCAACACATAGTCTTAGAAAATTGCCTGAACCACTGAAAAATTAGGTCATTTTGCCCACGTTCACACACAGCTTGTATGTGGCAGAAGGAGGACTTGAACCCAGGTCTTTCTTACTCTGAAGTCAACGCTCCATTTTAAAGAAGAGTAAGAGCTTGTTAATAATTTAAGGATTTTTTACTCTTGAACATTACATTTAAGATCAGAAGACATTTTCCTTGTTACCATTTTTTCACTCTGAATTCAAAGAGATCCTGTCCTAGAATACAGTTTGAGGCCTGGACTTCACCAAATGATACAAGTTTTCCTTAGTTACCAAAGCAACCAGTTTACAAGCTAGAAAAAAATGTATGTTTTGTACCAATGGGGAGAATTCCATATTCCTCAATCTTACAAAGCTTGTATAATCTTGCAAAAACTTTATGAGTCCTGGAAATTGTCACATAGGCCACTTTTTGGGTTTTGGAAGAGGTTTTTATTTAAGTGCATCCTCTCCTGGTCACGCCTCCTTGTCTCACTCCACACTGCTTCCAAAAAGGTAAGGAAATGGTCATTTTTAAGGAAGATATCAGTAATTCACAAAGCTTTCTAAAGATTATAGATAGAACTACACTGTCACCTTATTTATCCAAAGGCTGCATGCAAAAAACTCAATTATTGGGACCAAGGGAAAAAACAGGCATTATGCTCCAAAGACTTCTGAGAGGCAGCCAGAAAAAAAAAGAAAGGAAAGAAAGAAAAGGAAAAGAAAAGTCATTGTCCATTTGAGCTTTTGTTCTTCCAGATGAATTGTGTTATTATTTTTTCTAGCTCTATAAAATAAGTTTTGATAGTTTGATTGGTACAGCACTGAATAAATAGATTAATTTAGGCAGAATTGTCATTTTTATTATATTGGCTTGGCCTACCCATGAGCAATTAAAATTTTTCCAATTGTTTACATCTGACTTCATTTGTGTGAAAAGTGTTTTATAGTTGTGTTCATATAGTTCCTGGGTTTGTCTTGGCAGGTAGACTCCTAAGTATTTTATATTGTCTATAGTCATTTCAAATTTTCTAGCTTTTGCTTTTGGAATTTGTTGGTAATATATAGAAATGCTGATGATTTATGTGGGTTTATTTTATATCCTGCAACTTTGCTAAAGTTGTTAATAATTTCAAGTAGTTTTTTAGTTGATTCTCTTAGTTTTTCTAAGTATAACATCATAGCATCTACAAAGAGGATAGTTTTGTTTCTTCATTGCCTATTCTAATTCCTTTAATTTATTTTTCTTCTCTTATTGCTATAGCTAACATTTCTAGTACATGTTAAAAAACCAGAGGTGATAATGGGCATCCTTGCTTTACCCTCGTTATATTGGGAAGGCTTCTAGCTTATCTCCATTATAGATTACGCTTGCTGATGGTTTTAGATAAATATTACTTATCATTTTAAGGTAAGCTCCATTTATTTCTATGCTTTCTAATGTTTTTAATAGGAATGGGTGCTGTATTTTGTCAAAGGCTTTTTCTACATCTATTAAGGTAAACATATGTTTTTGTTGGTTTTGTTATTGATTTGGTCAATTATGCTGATAGTTTTCCTAATACTGAACCAGCTCTGTATTTCTGGTATAAATCTCACCTGGTCATAATGTATGATCCTGGTAATATATTGCTGTAATCTCTTTGCTAGTATTTTATTTAAAGTTTTTGCATCAATATTCATTAGGGATATTGGTCTATAATTTTCTTTCTTTGTTTTGGCTCTTCCTGGTTTGGGTATCACTACCATATTTGTGCCATAAAATGAATTTGGTAGGACTCCTTTGCCTATTTTTCCAAATAGTTTATATAATATTGGGATTAATTATTCTTTAAATGTTTGGTAGAATTTACTTGTGAATCCATCTGGTCCTGGGGATTTTTTCTTTGGAAGTTCATTGATGGCTTGTTCAATTTCTTTTTTCTAAGACTGGGTTATTTAAGTATTTTATTTCTTCTTCTGTTAATCTGAGTAATTTATATTTTTGTAGATAGTCATCCATTTTGTTTAGTTTGTCAAATTTATTGGCATATAATTGGGCAAAATAGGTCCTAACAATTGTCTTAATTTCCTCTTCACTGGTGGGGAGTTCACCCCTTTCATTTTTGATACTAGTAATTTAATTTTCTTCTTTTTTAAAATCAAATTAACAAATGGTTTATCTATTTTATTGTGTTTTTTTTTAAACTAGCTTCTGGTTTTATTTCAGTGGTTTTCTTACTTTCAGTTTTATTAATCTTTCCTTTGATTTTCAGGATTTCCAAGTTGGTGTTTAATTAGGGATTTTTAATTTGTTCTTTTTCTAGTTTTTTTTAGTTGTATGCCCAATTCATTGATCTGCTTTTTATCTATTTTACTGATATAAGCAATCAGAAATATAAAATTTCTTTCCCCTTTCTTGTTTCTTTTTTACCTTTTATGTTTCCCTTGAGACTTGTATTTCAAGGTCACATTTTTTATTAAGCTCTGCTCTTTTAATTAGAAATGCTTGAAAGTCTTCTATTTAGTTAAATGTCTGGTTTTTTTCCCCTGAAAGATTATATTCAATTTTGCTGGGTAGGTGATTCTTGGTTGTAATCCTAATTCCTTTGCCTTCTGGTATATCATATTCCAAAACCTCCAATTCTTTAATGTGGAAGCTGCCAAATCCTGTGTAATCCTGACTTTAGCTCCATGATATTAGAATTGTTTCATTTTGGCTGCTTGCAATACTTTCACTTTGATCTGTGAGCTCTGGAATTTGGCTATGATGTTCCTGGAGTCTCAGGCGGTGAATGGTGAATTCTTTCAATTTCTATTTTACCCACTGGTTCTATTCTAATATATTAGGGCAGTTTTCTTTGATAATTTCTTGAAAGATGTCCTGGCTTTTTTTTTTCAAATGATCATGGCTTTTAGGTAGGACAATAATTCTTATATTACCTCTCCTGGATCTATTTTCTAGGTCAGTTGTTTTTCCAATGAAAAATTTCACATTTTCTTCTATTTTTTTTTACCACTTTTTTGCTTTTGTTTTATTGTACCTTGTTTCTCATAGAGTCATTGGTTTCCACATGTTCAATTCTAATATTTAAGGAATTATTTTCTTTAGTAACCTTTTATATTTCCTTTTCTACTTGGCCAATTCTATTTTTTTAAGGAGCTATTTTCCTTGGTAAATTTTTGTACATTTTCCCCATATTATTAACTCTTTTCATGATTCTCTTGCATTATTCTCGCTTCTTTTCTCAATTTTTCTTCTACTCTCATTTGCTTTTTAAAAGCCTTTTAAAGTTGTTCCATGAATTCTTTTTGGGCCTGAGACCAAATAACATTTTTCTTTGAGGTTTCACATGTAGCAATTTTGACAGTATTGTCCTCCAAGTTTATGCTTTGATCCTCCCTACCATCATAGTAACTTTCTGTAGTCAAAATATATTTTTTTCAATTTTTGCTCACTTTTTTTCCTGCCTTTTTTTGTGACAGTGTTTTTATGTGAGAGTTGGACTCTGGTCCTGCACTGCCCCAAGTTTTTTTTGTGCTGGGGCTCTGGGTCTTATTAATGGTTTTCACTGGGCTTCAGAGCTTAGCTATTTGCTTTCTCTGGAGGATAGGCTTCCCTTCTGGCTTATACTGGGAGAGACGGGGCCTCTCTGTTGGCCTCCCCTGGGGGTGGGGTTTAGCTGCTGGCCTGCCTTAGGGGTTGGACCCTGCTGCTGGACCCAGCTGCTGGTTTGTTATGTAAACAGGGTCTCTACTGGTAGGCCCCAGGGGTAGAGTCTGGCTGCTGGCTGGCCCCAGGACAAGGCTTCACTGCTGGTCAGCTGTGGGGTCAAAGCCTCACTGATGGTGGGGGGGGGGTCCCTGGGGTGAGACTTTGCTGTCCTGCACAGACTGCTCACTCACCTAGGGGTCTGCTGGTTTGCAGGAGGAGGGAACTTCACCAGTGGATTGCCCCAGGCTCTGAGCCCTGTTGTAGGCCCCCTGCTAAGAGGATGGCTGCTGCTGCTGCTCTTGGACCTGGCTTCCCTCCCACCAGGCTGGTAAGCTGCTTCCCCGCTCCTAGATCAGTTCTGTGGTGGTTTCCTACTTGTTTGGAGGGGAATTGAGGAGGGCTTCAGAGCGTTCCTTCCTTACTCCACCATCTTGGCACCACAACTTAAGATTATTTTTAAGTGTCATAGTACATAAAGGGGCAAACTTCTGTTGTTTGGGTAATGTAAGTATCAGCAGCCTCATTTTGCAGATGCAGCTGAGGCTCAAGAAAAAGTAATCAACTTGCCCCATGTCACCCAGCTAGGAAGGACTGGAGCTGGTACCCCATATGCTATGTCAAAATTGCTATGGAAAAGCACTATAGAAGTCAAGTGACTGCTATATGCCAGGCACTACAAAAGGATAGGCAGACTTCACATTAAAGTGTTGCCTATGTTTTATTATTACTATTAATGACAATAATGATCTCTAACATTTACATAGTGCTTTAATGTTTGCACACTACTTTACAGATATTATCTCATTTGATTCTCACAACAATCCTGAAAGGTAGGTACTATTATCATCCCTATTTTACAGATGAGAAAACTGAGGAGACAGAGATTAAATGGCTTGCCCTAGATACTAATAAGTCTCTAGATTTGAATCTGGATCTTCCTCACCTTAGGTCCAGCACTCTATCCATGGTGCCACCCATTCTATTCATGGAGACATTATTTGTGTTCAGTGTCTAAAATCAAGACAGTCATTGGTTTTGAAAAGACTGAGTCACCTAACAACAGGCAGTTGAACACCAAAGTGCAATCTCAGTTTTGAAGATCAAGATATTTCACTACTTTGAAATATTAAGCCCACGTTAAAGGGATACCAAATCCTTTTTACCACCATGTGTTATTAGTCTATCTTACCTTCATATCTGATAATAGCTAATAACAATAGCTAGCATTGATATAGCACTTTAAGGTCATACACTAACTCATTTAATCCTCATAATAACTCTGGGAGGTAGGTGCTGTTATTATCCCAGTTTCACAGATGAGAAAACTGAGGCACATATTAGTTAAGTGATTTGCCCAGGTTCACACAGCTAGTAAATGTCTGAGGCCAAATTCAGACTTGGGTCTTCCTGACTCAAAGTCCTATGCTCTTTATCCACGTTGTCAGCCAGCCACCAGAAAGTCCTGGGTAATTTAGGAGTTCACACAAGCATACTTACACTGACAGTTCCCAGGAGATCTGGTATTGCTGGCACTGCTCTCAAAAGAAGAATGAAAGCTGTGAATGGTTTCCTGTAATATTTGCCTCTCACGTCCCTGCAAAGGAAATTAAAAATACTCAGAATATTAAACTCATACTGGAAAGTCCATAGGTGTCTTGAGAGACTAGGTTAATGAAGATAAAGAGTATCTGATTTAATAAAAACACAATGAAACAGAGTCTTTTTGTATCTCTTGCTTCTGTACCCAGAATCTTATCCATTCCACTGGGAGCTCTGCCCATATAAGTAAGCAGAAGTCTACCTCTGCAGGTCCTCATGTGTACTGGGGGGGGGTGTGGTAAGGGGGGCAGAGGTTCTTTTCACTACCACCAAAATACCCTCCTACCCACTTCTCCCACCCAACCTTATTCCTTTATATTTTCTTTATTCAGCCTTTTCTGTTACTTAAAATATTCTAATACCCTCCACTAAATTAATTTCCAACCAGTTCCCCTCTCTTTCACTTCAAGATGTGAAAGCAATGAGGTAGGGATTTCCCCATGTTGTTCCAAATACCTCTCCAGTGGTCCCATACAGCCTTGTCATTACTGGAGAGGCTAATGCTTTTTTTTTAAAAGAAATTTTTACTGATATCTTTTCTTTTTATATCATCACTATTTTTTGCTGAATTTTTCCCACTTCTCTGTCCTAGACAGCCAACCCTGATAATGAAGAAATTTTTTTTTGTAAAGAAGAGGAACATATTTAGCAAAACCAATAAACATATAAAAAAAACAACATTATATGTAATGTTCTCCACCTGTGGATCCTGCCCTTTGCAAAGGGGTGGGCAGGGGTTGGGAGGGTAGGGAAGGAAAATATCTTTGGGTTATTCTTTATAATATTCTGTGTAATTAAATTATAAACTTGTTCTTTATAATTTCAAAACACCCTATTTACAGTTCTTTTGTTGTTTCTATTTACATTGTTGTGGTCATTGTGTATTCTTGGCTTTGTTTATATTTCATTTTGTATCAGTTCATGTAAGTTTTTCCATGCTTCTTTGTATGCGTTATGTTCATTGTTTCTTACGGCACAGTAATATTCCCTGACATTCATGAACCCCAGTTTGTTTAGCAAGTCCTTTATCTATGTGCATCTGCTTTCTTTGTTACCACAAAAAGTGCTGCTACAAATATTTTGGTCTATATGGAACCTTTCTTTTTGCCAGTGATCTCCTTAGAGTATATACTGAGCAGTAAAATCAATAGGTATGAACATCTTAGTCACTTTATTTGCATGATTCCAAACTGTTTTCCAGAAACAGTTGTGCCAATTCACAGCTCCACCAACAATGCTTTAAGGTGCCTATCTTTTCTACAACCCTTCTAACAGAAACAATCCCCATCTTTTTTCATCTTTGCCAATTTTCGAGGAGTCTGGTGAAACCTCAGGGTTGTTTTGTTTTTTTTTAAATTTGCTTATCTCTTATTATTCATGTTTTGGATCATTCTTTCATATGGTTGTTAACAGTTACGATTCTTTTTTGGAGAATTATTTGTTCATATCCTTTGACCATTTTGGAGGAGTACTTTTGAGCACTCAGCACTGATAATGAGGAATGCCTGAACAATGTGGAAAACTTGAGAAGACAAAAGAAACCAAGTCTTGACTGCCAACTTCTGATGACTTAAGAGTTGTCTTGTAGATGAGAAAGTAGTCTTGTTTGATGTGGCTTCCACAGACAGAAATGTTTAATTTAAAAATGATTAAGTGCCTTCTATTGGCAGAGCATTTCTCTCATTCTCTGTGTGTGTGTGTGTGTGTGTGTGTGTGTCTCTCACTCTCTCACTTACTTTCTCTCTCTCTCACCAGAACAAAACATCACGTAAGTTTATTTCAATGTCATGTTAAAATTGATAGGTTTAATGCTTAAATGCACCAAGTAAACTCAGTCACTTAAGTATTTTTAAAAAGTTATTCCTTCCCCCAAAATGAGGGAGAGTTTTCTGGTATTTCTGTGTCTGGACAACATATTCTTCATTGTTTCAGTGGTGAATGAGCTGCTGGGAAAATTTGGGAACAATTTTCCCCACAGACAACCTCTTTCTGGATGAATGTTATTTTTGGATAAATTTTCTTTGCATGTTCTTCCCCCTGGAAACTTTATTGATTAAGATCCTATATAAAATTTTAACTGTTAAAGCACTAATGATTGCAGAGCATTCTTCTTGGCTTGATATGGAATGATACTGGAGAAAGATTAGAGAAAGAACCAAAGAGGGCCAGACAGAACCTTGGAGAACTCCTGAATTAAAGGAGCAGAAAAAACATAAGTACAGTGATAGAGACAGAGAATGGCTGGTTAGAAAAGTTGGAAGGGAACTAGAAGAATTTGCTGTCTCAAGACAAGAGAGGAAGGAAGATGTAGTAGGAGAGGGAGGTCAACAGTGTCAAAACACTGTAGCATGGTGAAGAATGAAAACTTTTTTAAAAATTAAGCAATTGGTAACCTTAGTATAATTCCAGGAGTGTAGAAGGTGGGATGTAAGCTTGATTACAAGAGGTTAAGAAGATAATGGGTAGTGAGGAAGTGGAGTCATTGGGTGAAGCTTTTCAAGAAGTGTAGCAGTGGAGGGCAGGAAAAAGATGGGACAGAAGGGTCAAGGAAAGGCCTTTTTCAAACTGGGAAAAACTAAGCAAGTTTGGAGGCAGTTGGGAAGGAGTCAGTGGAATAGGGGAGCTTGAAGCTCACGTTGGATTGCTTCAATTTCACTGTAGTAAGAGGGTAAGTTATCCTTCTTTTGACATTTACCTGTGTGACCTTGGGCAAATTACTTATCACCTTCCTGTGCCTCAGTTTCCTCATTTCTAAAATAAGGAAGGCCTCTTGAGGTCCTTTCCAGATCTAGATTATTTTTAAAAATAGACAGCTAGATGGTACAATGCTGGACCTAGAGTCAGGAAGATATGAGTTCAAATCCAGCCTCAGAAATTTGCTAGCTGTGTGATCCTGGGCAAGTCACTTAAGCTCTGTCTGCCTTGGTTTCCTCATCTGTAAAATGAAAACAGGAGTAGCACCTAGCTTCTAGGGTAGTTGTAAGGATAAACTACTTTAATATTTGTAAAGCACCTGCAAAACTTCAGAGGCTACATAAATGCTAGTTTAATAGTAATAATAATCTGTGATCCTGTCTGCTCTAAGGGAAGGAATAGGAAGGAGTAGGAATATAGTTGGAAGTGAAAAAAGAGATGAAGCATCTGAAATAGTTGCTATGGGGATGAAATAAGGAGATGATAATATAGAAGTACTCTTTCACAGCAGTGAGTGCCTAGCTGAGGTTATGTACCATACATCTATAATGGGTGAAGAAATCAGCTTGATTTTGTGATTTTTCTCAGTGACACTCAGAATCAGCAGAATCAGCAGTAAAAAGCAAACAAAAAAAACACCAGATGATAGGGAAGATCTAGGAAAAAATTAAAGTGTCTATGATCATAAAGGTCAAGGCTGAGTAAGAAAATAAATGAAAATATAGTGGGATGGATAGATTGGGAGAGCAGGGGTAGGATATGGGATTAAAAGTCATGATAAAAGCAGAGTAGATTTAGTGAGAGAAATAGGATGGGCACTTGTGTTTGGACAATGGAATTTCATTGTCTGAGATGCTGAAGTCTAAGATAACCTCAATTTATATGCCAGTATAGCTGGAGTGGATTGAAGGAGGTCACAAGAGTTCAGAAGACTGAGAAACTATAGTCACATTGTTATTTGGGCTGAGCAACATGAATGTTGATATCTTTAAGCATAAGAGAAGAGGATAGGGTAAAAGGGAAGGCCAGGTATTAAAATGATGATAAAATCTGAAGAGTATCCTGGATGTAAATAGATAAAAGCTATAAATATTTTGGAATGGAATAATGGAAAAGGAGTAGTATGAAGAATAGAAGAATGGGTAGTATAAAGCAGACTGTAGACAAACTAGAACAAATGGGTATGAGCTATGAGGCAGATTTCTGCACTGTATAAAATATAACTTTCTAATTATTACTGTTCAGTTATGGATAAGGCTGCCTCAAAATGGTATATATCTCAAAGAGACAGGATGATCATCTGACATATATGTTGGAAAGAATTCCTGCAATGAATAGGAAGTTGGATTAAATCGTGTCCAAGATCTCACCAACTGGTAATATTCTCTGATTGTATTAAATATTTAAATTTTTGGAGGGGAAAAAATTAGGACAATACCTTGCCTGCATTCAGTTCAGAAATAGCTGCCAAAATTTGCTGCCTGGAACCATCTGTCTTAATACCCAACTCTTTCAAGTCACCATCAGTAAGCGTGAGGAACGCTTCCATGTCCACCTACAGAAAGATAAAGTGAGAGATATGCAATTGAGTCTGTTGTGATACAATTACAGGTACATACATGTCTCATACTCGTGTTCAACCTTAAGCTCCTAAGGAGAGGGAGTTTTGTCATTTTTCAACAATTATATTTCTAGTACCTAGCATAACAGGCATTTCATTGTTTGTTGAACTAGATTGATTTGATTTATGCCTCAGACTTCATATATATCAAGCATTCAATAAATATTGCTTGAATATAATACTATATAATACAATCCCACATTTATTAAGTTCCTAGAATGGGCCAATTCTAGGCCCTCAGTATGGTGAGAAAAAAGGAGAAAAGTCTCTAATCACAAATATCTACTGAATTGGATTTTCAGTCCAGTGAGATGATTAAGAAAATCTGTCAGGTCAATTATCTTAGTGGCTAGAATCATGAAAATGAAACTCCCATTGCTACAACATTTTTAGACTTAAGACAGTTAATTAAAATTCTTTTAATTACATTACAAATGTGACAATTTAATTGTTTCCATGTCTCATGACATTATAGGTAAATTCTGTTACTTGGCAGTACTTACCATAATTTCCCCAAAGAAGACAAGAGAGATGAAGACTGTAGAAAGACAGAATGTGAACTTAAACAACAGAAGCAATAAAAGAAAGAAGGACTATGTGGATCAGGGAGGTGTGTTTTTTCTCTGGTTATAACAATACAACATAACTTTGGTACTTTGGAAAATCTGTGATTTTCTTTGCATGAGTATCCTTTCTAGAGACAAAGATCACAACCCCTCTACACTGTGTCATCCCCTGTGACTCTCAGCCACATTATTCGTTGTACCTTCCATAGAGCATCTACCCAATGGTTACTGTAAATAAGGCTATATGAGCACATTATAATCTTTCATTTCAATAATTAAATAAATGAGAGGTCACATCCATGCCTACCAGACATGACAGGCAAAATCAGTGGCTGCTTAATGCCGGCAGGAATGGTAACATGCCATTTCCCTGAAAAATGACTAAAAGTTGGATTAGAAAGCTCCCTCTATCCATCCCTCACCACAAGCTTGATTGAGGCAATTAGAGGAGCAAAAACTGGAATTAAAGTGAAAAGGCTTTTCTATTTGAGGTGATTCCTAATAATTAGGCTTTCAAAAATATCCTCATATATTGACATTTACTTTATTTGATTCTGTTCTTGGTTGTTTCACTATGAAAAACATGTGTAAGTCAAATGTAACCCTCTGTACAACTCTTAACTAATACTAAACAGCTACTTAAAGAAAGCTGATTTAAGATCTAAAGTTAAATGGATTCTCCTTGGAAGTTCAGGAGGTTCCATGGTTATCTTGACCACTGAATGGGGAATAATAAAGCACTAAAAGAAAAATACAGTGCCCAAAATGTGTCCTGTTCAGCCTATGCTGATAACTCCCTTCCTACTTATATATATAGTGTTTACATGCTATCATGCTCTTTCATATGTTTGTGTAGATAGATAGATAGATAGATAGATAGATAGATAGATAGATAGATAGATAGACACATATCTTTGGATTTGTTCCCTAAACTTGTTTTATATAGGTATAGCATTATCTCTGGGCAGCTAGGTGTGAAGTGGGTAGAGTGCCAGGCTTGGAGTCAGAAAGATTCATCTTTCTGAGTTCAAATCTGGCCTCACATACTTATTAGCTGTCTGACCCTGGGCAAGTCATTTAACCCTGTTAGCCTCAGTTTCCTCATTTGTAAAGTAAACTGGAGAAGGAAATGGCAAACCATTCCAGTATCTCTGCCAAAAAAACATCAAATGGGGTCACAAAGATTTGGACATGAGTAAAAACAACTGAACAACAACAACAAATAATATAAAAATAACACTTTTATATTTGTCTCATTAAATTGGTTTAATTTAAAATTCTCTTGATCAGAAAGTTTCACTAAGTAATATTAGTATTACTACAGTCTACACTAGGTTATGGTTATAGAATCTACACTGTAGGCAGTGCATTCTAAACACTTCCTTCATGAAAGTATACAAGCTAATAAAATGAAATTTTTTAATGCCATAAAACCAATGTAACTTCAGCTCTATCTTCCATGTTTTCTACATCAGTAATTAAATAATAACTGACAAAATTCAAGTTCATGAAGCATTTGTGACTCATTAGAAGAACACAGATTTAGGGTGAGGGAGTTGGTCATTTGGTCCAAGCCTCTCATTTTACAGTTGAGGAAACTGAGGTCTTAGGAGGTAAAGGACTTGGCCCCTTGGCCACACAGGTATAAATGTCAGAACTGGGATTTGAACCCAGATCTTATGGTTCTTAATCCTTCATTCTTTCCATTGTGCCACATTTCCTTCCCAAAAAATCTGAACTTATGTTTGTTATAACAGTGTAACATAGATTTTTTTTTACTGTATCCTACTAATTCTTTGAAAATCAGGAGTCTAAGTTCAACCCTGCTTATTGGTGGCCTCTTGCTGACTCTCTGTTCCAGACCTGCAGTGTTCTTGTTCCTTTCTGACTTAGCTGACCTACCTGGACTTCACTTTTGTCTGGCTAGATCTCCTCTATCTGCCAGTCTATTTGCCAGTGTTGGCTCTGGTGTGGCATAAAGAGAAGAGTAATAGGAGGCATTCTTTACTAGAAAGCAAAGGTGAGAGTGATAATAAAGAGGGAGACCCATAATTATCTTGAAATTCTGAAAATGATGCAAAAAGTTATTCAAGCATTTTAATATACAACATGCAACAGGCCCTGTCATTACTTAAAAACCCCTTCCTCACCAATGGTTTTCAAATTAGTTTATCTGGAGATACGTTCACAAGAACATATGTCCAATTTCATGAGAGTCAGAGGAAAATGAGATCCACTTTATACAAACAAGCTAATGAACATTTCTAGACTCTGGGCATTTTCACTGGCTGTCCCCCATGCCTGGAACCCTCTCACTCCTTCTCTTTACCTGGTTTTCCTGGCTTCCTTCCAGTCTCAGCTAAAGTCCCCTTTGCTACAAGAAGCTTTTCTAGTCCTCCTTGATCAGTGTGCTTTCTCTCTGAGATTATCTCCAATTTTTCTAGTCTACATCTTTTTTGTATATAGTTTTATGTTATTTCCCCTATTAGCTTGTGAACATCTTGAGAGTAGGGGCTGTTTTTTGTTTGTTTGTTTGTTTTGCCTTTCTTTGTCTCCCCGGCACTTAGCATAGTGCCTGGTACACAGTAAGCATTTAATAAATGCTTGTTGACTTGCCTTCAGAGCCAACTTTGCTGGCACATAATACATTTCAGTAAATGAAGTAAACCTTGTATACTTGATTTATAATACTCCATATAATGTCCTCAAAGAAGCTCAATATACTTGCATTCCCCAACGAGAGATCCAGTTCCAGCTTCTTAAAGCTTGCCTTAAATTTATAGAAGGTCAGACCAAATGATCTCTACTTTCCCTCTATGTCAAATATTCTATAATTTTATAAATATTACACCTTTAGTATTGCCAAAAACTACATATTGTTTGGGCCTTAACCTTTGTGTTAACTATCAGGAAGAGCCAACACCTGACTTTATTTTTTCTTTGAACTACAGAAAAAAAATTTTCTAGTATCCTTATCTGGCAAGATTTGTTACCTTTTAGTCAATGAAATAAAGAATACAGTGTTTAAAAATGTTTAAAATTCTTGCATTTTGGAGAAACTTTAACTGTTGTAATTGTCATCCCTACTTGTCTCTCTTCCTTCTCTAATACATCTGGCCTACCATTGCCAAACTAGTCTTCTTCATATACTATTCTTATCCCTGGATTATAGTCCAGTTCTGCCATTAAATAGTTGTGTGACATTGGGTAAATCATTTCCCTTCTCTGGACGCCAGGCTTCTGTCCTATAAAACTGAAGAGTTTGACTAGATTGTTTCTCAGGTTCCCATTAGCTCTAAAATTCTGAATCAGTGATCATAGCTTACTTAAAATCCAGCAGGAAGAAGATCAAGTTGGTCTAGAGTGGAAAGTCTTCCATATTTTGGCTCCTAGCCCACCTGTCTAACCTTATCTCCCTTTTTTCCACATGAACCCTGTGATAGAGCCAAGTTGGAATGTTCACTCTTCCCCCGAAGACTATGCAGGGCAATTCCTGCCTCAGTACCTTTGCTTATGGCAATCCTACCTCCCAGAATGCTCTCAACTACTCTTGTCTAGTTACCTGAATCATGTATACTTTTTGAGACTGAGCTTAAGTCCCACCACCCTGACCACTCAAGCCTACAGTGATCTCTCTTTCCTTTCAATTTATAGCACTTAATGTCTGTACCATTCATTTCATCCTTCTCATGAACTGACTTGTGTCTCCTTAATACCCACCTACCACAGTGCCTGGCATATATTAGGAGTTCAGCAAATGTGTGGTTATTTAATTGTTTACTACAAAGACTACAGAACTATGAAGAAACCCCGGAGACAAGATGGCAGTAAGGCAGCATAAGAAAATATTTGAATATTATATGAAAATAGGAGAGGGAAGGAAAATGATAGGTTAAAATTTTTTCACACAGAAGTGTATTCTTGAAGAAAAGACATACACTAAATTATCTTTCAAAAAATAGAGGGGAAAAGATTTTTATATAGTGATAGAGAATGTCAATTAAACTACAATAGACATGATTAGATGGAAATTCATTCCATTTAAGTCCTTTTTGCTGGTTTTAACTTTCAGTTTAAATTTCCTAAATTTTTGAATTCTCCAAGATAATTCATACTAAAATTGCAATAACACATTCAGAAGAATTAGACCTTTATAAGAACGAACATTTTGGACCCTCACAAACAAGGGGTGGGAAGTATAAAAATATATATAATTCTCAAATAAGTTACTTATTTCCTTTGTTCTGAAATCACCTATCCTGGAAATGAATTTTCATTTAACTATGTATAATTGCCTACATTATACAGTGCATTATGCTAGGGACAGAGGAAGCTGTAAAGATAACTAAGACACAGCCCCTGCCCTCATGGTGTTTATAATCTATAATATCCCAGTGTTCACAGGCAGTAGTACTACTCTCCAGAAATGGAGAGTGTGAACCCAGTGGGAGAATTCATATTTATAGCTCTTTTATATGTAATATTAGACATCTCATCTTTACTCACTTTCCCTCTTAGGTGTGATCTGCATCTGAGCTCCAGAGCAACATAAGCACACAATCACAGGACTACATAGATACCCAAAGGAAACAAACACATACACCATTCAGACTTCCAGCTACCTTTCCCAGCAATAGTAATACAGAAATAGCTAGGAACTTGAGTCCACTGCATTGTGATGCTGCGCTGTTCTTCTAGGCCTCCCCTGGTGTCTTTTGCTATTCCATTTCCTCCATACAACTCTCTCAGCAAGTCACCATTGATTAGTAAGTCTGGGGAATATGCTGTTGTTATTTTTCTGTTCTTTCCCTGCTGAAGTTCTCTGTGGTTAAAAGCTGCTAGGGCCATGTTTGATACTTAGCTAAGCCCATGCTCCTACTGTTCAACACAGGAGACACTGGCTACTCTGTGTTAACTCAGTGTGGTAGAAGATACAACCTTACATGAATACATTATAACTATCCAATGGCTATAATCCAGAATAGGACGTGATAAGGGCATAAGAGATGTGTAAAATACCATGTTAGGAATGAAAAACTTATGTACACTCATGTTAATATTCACTGGACTCACAGAGACACCAGAGTGCTGAGTTAAACGTTCATTTCACACCATAAGTTTCTCCTTTTCTCCTGTAAATCTTCAGCGTTAAGGTTATATGAAGAGTTCAAGGCCAAGACTGTAGTTGAAGTATTTACTTTTAATTGATTAGGAGAGGGGCAGCTAGGTGGTGCAGTGGATAGAGCACTGGCCCTGAAGCCAGGAGGACCTGAGTTCAAATCCGGCCTCAGATCAAATACTTAACACTTACTAGCTGTGTGACTCTGGGCAAGTCACTTAACCCCAATTGCCTAAAAAAGCCAAAAAATAAAAAAAAAGTAATTGATTAGGAGAAAAAAAGGACATAGCAATATCCCCATAGTAATTTCTATGGAAATGAAGCTATGAAGGGTGAAAGTGGGACACAAGAAATATGACCAAAAGTCAAAGAATAGTGCTTGTCTATATCTGTCTATTTTACCTATCTATTCATCCTTCATTTTAATTTTCTTTGATTGAGGTAACTGTGAGTCTAGAGCAGCTTAGAAGTTATAATGGAGAAAACTATCCCTGTCTTCCCATCCTTTGGCAGATAGGAAGGAAAACAGATTTTAGAGCTCAAAAATAAATGCAAGAATCAGGGGATAACAAAATATAAATCCTGACTTTGCCATTTATTTCCTGTGAACCTCACATATGTCATTTAATGGTAATGTGCCTATGTAGTTCTTAATTAAAAACAGGATGTTTTTTTGATTACCTCAGTGTTATTGTAAAAAAAAAAAGAAAACAACACAAAGATGATAATATAGAGAACATCTTATGTATTCAAACATGGCAATTCAAATTCCACTCTTATGGGGATTTTATGTAATCTATGTGTTACATAATCCCTGAGCAAGGGACCCACTCATTCCAAGAAATAGTTGTCATAACAGAATTCAAATATAACAACAGAAAAAAAAATTCCCTTGACTTTTTCTGTAATTGAATGACTTGATTAGTTATGATAAATAATAATTGTGTCCATATAATGCTGGTTATTCTTCTTTCCTCAGCCTTTCTACTGACAATATCATATTAAAATGTACTGATAATGTTCTTAGATCCATAGTAAAGACATATAAAATAGATAAAGCCCTTACCTCTTGCTCCTCAAAAATTGGCTGATATTTCTCAAGTGATAATTTTTTAAGGATTCCAGTCAGCTCATCTTAAAAAGGGAAAGATTCAAAATAATACCGATTTAGAATTTTGTAAAAGATAACATATTGTACACAAATCTAGAAGCACCAGGATCAACCTTAATTCTGACCTGTTATTTTTAAAATACCAACTCTAAGAGCAAAAAGTTCTAAGAGTTTTCAATACTAGGATAACTTGTTTTTCTTCTAAGAGTAGGTTTTAATTACTATGGCTTGCCCGTTGATTGCTCTGAGCTAAAGAAAATATTGAAGACATTTTGGCCTCAGTGCTCAGGGACGTTACTGAAAAAATTCATATGAAAAAGCTATATATGCAGTATATCTGGCCATGTTTGAGGAAATGCTTGAGGATGGCTTTTAGAAGGCGGCCAGGGAATGAGAGGGAAGAATTGGTAAACATATTGTGGGAATGCTTGACTGTCCTCAAATGTTGCTAAACACTTAAAAAGTGCAAGAGGAAAAAAAGATGAAAAGATTAGCCTCTAAAGCAGGAATTCTTAACCTTTCTTGTGTCATGGACCCCTCTGGTAGTCTGGTGAAGCTTATGGACCTCTTCTCAGAATAATATTTTATAATGTATACAATACAATACATAGGATTACAAAGGAAACAAATTACATTGAAACATAGTTACTGACATAATAAAAATAAGCTCAAGGATCCCAGGTTAAGAACCTTTGCTCTAAAGGCAGGGTGAAAGAAACAGAGAGTGAAAGGAAATGGATGTTGTCCTGAGCATTATAATTCAGGTATGTTTTTCAGCTACTGTTACAAATTTTTGCCACTGGGGTGAATCACAGGACAAAGTGAACATTCCTTGTAAATGTGATAGAGCTCCCACTGATCCTGGACCCTGAACCCATGGAACATAATGTTTTTAAAAATTCCTAATTTCTTTAAAATGATCACCCTTAGGGACCTTGTGCCTACATATATTCTCCCTCCCATGCAGTCTGATGTATGCAGCAATCACTTACCATCATCAGTAATAGTTCCACTGCTAGAGCCACCACTCCCCTTAGACTGCCTATGAGATGAAGAAGAGGAAACAGAGGATTCTGCATTGTGCCCTTTTGGGGATGGGGATGGGGTAAGCGTTGGTGAGGTGCTTTTGGAGGTAGTTGAGGTTCCAGATAGAGGTCTTTTGCTTGTCTCCAATTTCTGATGCAAAAATAAAAGTAAAAATACAATTGGACAAAAACAAAGGGGAAAAAAAGGAATTAGAAATTACTGAAATATACAGCGACATATCCACCACATACTGAACCTGACAATGCATTTTCTAACCAAGGCTATGAAAAGTATTATTAATCAAATGCAAAATTAAAAGTCGTAACTGCTTAATAAAACTGTAAGTTAAAAAAAGATCCACTGGGACAAGGAGGCAATGTGGTGTAGTGGAAAGAGCCCTGGACTTTAAGTAAGAAGACTTGGGTTCTATTCTGGCTTTGCTTCTATTTAGCCATGTGACCTTGGGCAAGTCACTTGATATTCTATAGTTTAATTTTCTTCCTTTGTATTAAATGGGGAGTAGAAAAATGATGAACTGAAGTTTATTTGAATTATAAAACTCCTCTAAACTTACCTTCTACATATTTTCTATGTACCTTATATGTTCCTATTTACATAGATTTTGCCACCCCCCATCATTAGAATGTAAGTTCCTTGAGGGCAGGAACTATTTTTGTATTTTTTTCTCTGAATTCCCAGCACTTAGATCACCACCTCGCACACAGCAAGCACTTAATAACTACTTGTTGCTTGACTGATGGTCTGGTCCGATACCACTTCCCATTTTCTAATATTCGGCCCATGCTAGTTTTTAACCATTTCAAAAATAAGACTTTTACATGCCTTACTATTTAAGTTGATTGAAAATACAAAAGTTTTCCAAATTTTAAGCTAGTGACTTTAAGAACTTCATTTTTCTCTCATTTCCTCTTCCCTTGCTGCTGAGATACTGTATCTTTTACCCCTTGGAACTCACATAGTCCTTGTGTTTCTTGTGTGCATTTATTCTGCTCTGTTTTTATTATTTTTTTTAAAAAAACATTGGTCATTTATTCCCTATTAAACTGTACACTTCATGAGAGGAGGAGACTGTCTTATTTATTGTTATCACCCAGCACCTAGGACCATGATCAGTGTACTTAAAATGAGCACTCACAAGTTTTTGAATTGAAATTGAATTGAATTTAAAATGGAGTTATTCATTCACTTTATGCTTTAAGGAAAAAATGTGTCTAGAAACTACTGTGTAACAGTTTAAAAACTGTATTAGTTTGTGTGTTCACCATCACTGTAAGATCTCTTGCCCTCCAAATGGCTTGCGAGAGCCAACTGATAAATTTTCAGTGTGAGTGTTTATTTACACTCCAGAAATTGGTAAATGTTACAAATGTTACAAAGCTTGATTTATTGGGGGTTTTTATTGGTTAGATTTAAGAAAGTAATGGAGAAAATGTTAATGATGCAGAGAGCTGGTTGTTAAACATTTACCAGCACACCCCTGCTCAATTGCCACCACTGATTGCTCTATTCAGGTTGCTTAGGATTGCTGGAGTAAGTCACAAAATTAAACTGATGAAATTTATGCTATGTTACTTCAACTTGGCACTAACAGGTGCTTAGCCATCTCTCTAGAGTACTGCTTTCCTTCCTTATCCCCCATGGTGACAGTTCCAAACTTTTCTACTCCAGATCCCAAACCTCTCGCACCCCTCCTTTCCACCAACCTAGCTTATAGTAGATGACTTAGTTTCCTACTGCACTGAAACTGTTGAGGCAATCTGACAAGAGGTCCTTCAATTACCCTTCTTCACTCTTCAAAAGTTTCTCAGCATTACTTCTTCCTCCTTATCTCAGAGGAAGAGGTAGCCTTACTCTTAAGCTCTGTGCATGGGTCCTATCTTATCCAAGGCATATATTGCAGATAGTAGTAGATCCATCTTATAGATGAGAAAATTGATGCTTAGAGAAGTTAAAGGTCTTGCCCAGAGTCACACAGTTACTAAGGATCAGAGGTATATTTGGAACCCAGGTCTTCTTGACTCCAAGTCTCTTACTGTATCTACTATACCAAACTTCTGAAACTGTTCTCTTAGAATTGTATCTACACAAGAAGGAGTTGTACCCTGTGGGGGTGTCTTTCCCTTTATAGAAGCATAGAAAGAAAATTCATTTGCGTAAAATTTAGACAAATTTATAATTTGAAGAACACTTTTGTAGCTTGCTCAGTGTCCCACAGTAAATGGCAGAGCTAGGTCGAGAACTCAGCTCTCTTGCCTCTTATTCCAGGGGTCTTTCCACTACATTTCCTTCTCAATAGATTAAGAGGCCATCTCTATGTAAAGTATTTTCATTTAAAATTCTAGGTAAGGGCCCGTGTATTGATATTTCATCTCCCTTAAATGTTTTTAAAAATAAGAATTTTCAACCAGAGATGTTGGTACTTTAAAGGAAGTTTAGCACCCCCTCCTCTTTTTTAATTAAGTCCAACAAGGTTCCAGTATTGTTTTTGATCAGGGATATCAGTTATTATACATTAAGGAAAGAGTTCCTTTTAATAATTTTCTCAAATTTGTGTTTGGGTGAATTTAGGTTTCCTTAAAGTAGGGTATACATGTGAAAAGATTATCCTATATAAATAACAATTATATAATATCTAATAATATCTAAATATGCAACAGCCTCCGTTATGACCCTGGAGTTTATACTATTACATCTCCCTGCAGAAATAACAGGGCAAAGAGAGAGAAAAAAAAAGAGCTTCTAGGGCTGAAGTGATAGGAGCAAGTTACTATAATTCAAAGGTTTGTCAGCTTCCTTATCAATCAAGAGACTCCTATAGCAGTGACAGCATCTACATAAAAAAGCAGAGGAGTAAACAGCATGCACTCATTGACGTTCCATTCCAACTTGAGCATGCATGTGCTGGGCCTGACTCTACATGGAGCCAGGGGGAGTAAATGGCCCTTCCACTGAGTGAAGATGTGATTTCATAAAATTACCTTGTCCAAGGTATTAACTAACTAAAGGTGTTCACTCAGAATTCAGAGGAATGCCTTGTTTGCATTAAGTATTCTACTCCCCCTGATTCAACATAAATTCAGGTCCTGGGTTAGTACAGTGATGTTAACAAGGAGAAGGTGTAAGGTAAACAAACACCTTTCCACTATGAATGTTGCCTGAAACTGGAGAACCCTGGACATCAGGCAGGGTGGACCCAGGAGCTGTACAGACTGGACTATGCTGCTGGCTGGATTTCTGTTCAGATAATCCTGCGGCTTTTTTCCTTTGTGCTGCAATTTGGGACAAAACACTATCTATGCTGCCACCTAAGGAGTTATAAAGAAATATATGAAATGGGTACATGTCAGTGGCAATAGCATGTCACTTAATCTCCTCATCCTAATTCTTAATTTATATGATTATTATGGTACAAGGGAAGCAATAAAAATGGTACAAGGAAGGGGACCAACACTATCAAAATTTGCTCTCCCCAGCTATGAATTGGTACAATCTTTTGGAAAGCAATTTGTAATTATACAGTTAAGTGGCTAAAATGTCCATATCCTTTGACCCAGAGATTCCATTACAAGGCTTATACCACAAGGAGATCACTGACAAGAAGAAATGCTCCATATGCACCAAAATATTGATAGCAGCACTTTTTTGTGATAGCTAAGAATTAGAAACACAGTTCAATTGCTCTTCAGTAGTCATGCCCTTCCACTGGGACATGGTTAAATCAACTGTGGCAGATCATGGAATATTATTGTGCTGTGCTATAAGAAACAATGAACATGATGAATACACAGAAGCATGGGAAGACTTATATGAACTGATGCAAAAGGAAGTAGGTAGAGCCAGGAAAACACAATGACTATAACTATGTAGATGAAAAACAATCACCACAAAACAATTAAAACTGCAATATTGCAAAATTTATAAAGAAGTAGCTTGACCTCAAAGAAGAGATATGAGAAAACACTTCAATCCACTCCTTTGCAAAAGTAGGTGGTGTATGGGGCTGGAATATTGCATATGATGTCATGATGTCAAATATTCTTTGATATGTTGATTGGTTTTGCTGAGGTTTTTTTTTCTCTTCACCTTTTTCTTAAAAAAAAATCCTTTATTATAAGGGAGAGCTATTTGGGAAGGGGGAAGAAATGGGATACAAAGTGAAAGCTAGATTATGTAAAACTGAAAGATATAAATAAAAATCTAAGAAAAAAAGAGAAGAAATGTGTTCCTCTCCTTAAATGACACTCCCCACCCATTCCCCTTAAAAAAAATAAAACCAGGACTGTCATTTCTATAACAGTAGAGTTCAGTATGGATCACAGGAAGAATGATATTTGGAGTCACTGGAAAAAACTCTCTTCTCCTCAACCAAAAAATAGCAGCAACTTACTACTTATCTTTGTCAGACACTGCCATTCAAATATGAAGGGATTTTTATCTAATAAATTAAAATCATTTCAAAGGATTTCATCACATATAGCATTTTTGTACCAATTCTGTCCTAACACTATAAAGAATCTCATGACAGGTATCAAGCTAATGCTGAGGGAGCAAATATGAATCTTGACAAAAGCAAACCACTAATCAAGCTAGATAACAGATAGCAGAAAGACCCAGATAATATAATTACCTACAATCTATTAGCTTTCAAAGCGGTCTCATTTTTTGAGACAGCAGCAAAGACCAGAAAAGGGAGGCTCCAGGCCTCCTTTTTAAAAATTTTTGCTTTAAATGGGGATTTTTAAGAATAATTCTTCCAAGTAAAGCCCAAATAGTTTGCCTTCAATGTTAAAAAAAAAAGAGAGAGAGGTAGCATGGTGTATATAAGATAGAGGGTCAGTCTTAGAGTGATGGAATCCTGGATTTAAGTCCTGCCTTTGATATATACTGGCTGTACAACTGTAGACAAATTATTTAACATTGTGGATGCTAAACCCAAACATAATCTACCACATACAATATGATTCTAGGTTATTTCAAAGTCATTAGGAAACACAGAGGAAACAATCAAGGCAAGAGTTATGATGTGATTGGCCTGTGAAGTCCATAGTACTGCTCAGGTTGATAGCTAAAAGTGCTCATCCAACTACTAAGAAGTGTCTTCTTTCTTTTGGAGAGAAAATGGCAAACTAGAATGGGTCCAGAGAAGGGGCAATGAGGCTGGTAAAGGGACTCCAAATGACAAACCATGTCATATGAAAATTAATTAAAGAATCCGGGGAATACTGGTGGTGATGATAGGGGAAGAGGGGCAAGACATAGATGCTGTTTACAAATGTCTAAAGGACTGTCACATAGATGAGGGATAAAACTGTTTGACTTCAGAGGGGAGAGCTAGGAACAGTGGGTAGTAGTTCTAAGCAGGCAAATATTGCCTTAACATCACTAACAACTTATAACATTTAGATGGAATACATTTCGTCATGTAGTAGTGAGTTCCCTAGTACTGGAGATGTTTAAGCAAGAGCTAGATAACCGCTTGTAAGAGATATTCTAGAATGTATCAGATAAGAGAATACCATAGGTGGCCGCAAGGCCGCAGGTTCCCCACCCTGGAATAGACTATCCTCTGTCTCTTAAGATTCTGCTTTCTCATTGTACACATTTTCAGACTCTGCTGATGTGCTGGTCAGTTTTGTTGAACTACTGTTTTGCCACTTATTTTTTTTTTTAATTCTGTGTGAAAAGAGTATGGCTCTGGATATGGAAGAGAGGAAAGATACATTTGAAAATGAATGTGATATAAAAACAAACATGACAAAAAAGAAATCTAAAGATTCTGTTTCCATAAAGTTTGAGTTAACGTCTTGATGTTTTTCATTTTTTATATAAATTTGAAGAAAATACATACCTGATCTGTTATGTAGTTCTCCACCATGTCTGTTAATTCCACCTATGCCATTGGACCCACCAGAAGAGTGGGGTGATTGGTTGAAATTTCCTGAATTTGTAGGAGAAGTAGGGCTTCTCGTAACAGATGGAAATTTAACAGGCCTGACAGATGTCTGAAAGAGTAATATTGTATTTTAGTATATTTATACTTAGTATATTCTTCCCACCCCCAATCCCACTGATACAAATAGAAATATAAAACTTTCAGACAAGGAAGGAAACAGCATTTATTAATCATCCACTATATGCCAGGCACTCTACTGAGCACTTTACAAATATTCTCTTATTTGATTGCCACAACAGCCTTGGGAGGAAGAAGCAAACAGAGGTTAAGTGACTTGCTCAGGGTCCCACAGGTAGTAAGTGTCTGAGGCTGGAATTGAATTTAGGCCTCCCTAATTCCAGGCCCAGCACTCTGTGCATTATGGCGCCAACTAGTAGCCACTCTAATAGAAAAAAGGAAATCTTGTAATTGATGACAAGGAGGATAAATCCTTAATGAAGAACATACTTTTGAATTTATAAGATTCTATTAAAGTCATTATGTAACAACATGAAAATGAAGAGCAGTTAAAGTTTAAGTAGCAAGTTACACAAATATTCTCCAAGAGCTAATTGGAAATGATGCCCATGTCAGGGACCCTCTCCCTTAATTTGACAATCTAATAAGGATATGAGCTTTCACTTTATCTTGCTGGGAACCATGCCTCCATGTCATTTCTTGACCACCATTTTTACAACATGATGCTTATAGTTTGGTCATCATTCTCATATTCCTCTCCTACCAATTTCCTTTTATGTGCTGTCTTCCATCATAAGAATGTAAACTCCTAGAGGGCAGGGATTATCTTGCTTGTGTGTATTTATATCCTCAGTGCTTAACACACAGCAAATACATAATAAATATTTCATCCATCCATCTATCTATCTACCTATCTACTGTGTCTCTCTATTCTACCTGTGTGATTCTTAGAACATTCTTCCATTTTCACAACAATACCTCCAATTTCACAACAATTACCACTGTGACTACAGAATTGGACTGGAGCTATAAAGGACTGAGAGATAATTCTTATTTTTATTTGTTTCATGGGTTAGCATGGTCAAAGAGTTCAATACCAGGTGGCCAGACTATTTATGATGAATCTTTACATACTTCACTAAACTGGGCCTCAAAGAGCAGCCATAGTCCATTTCTAGGACCATATTAAAAGCCTTCCTAGCTTCTTGTTAGAGTTTGTGCTTCACGGCATGACCTTCAAGAACCCGAGGTCACCTCAGCATCACATGGAGGCATCAGAACAGGACTGTGTGGAGCCCTAACAATGAGAGCCATCCCCAAGTGGAAGTGGCTGAGGCATTCAAGTAAAGACTGAATGATCACTTGTTATTGGTATGATTTGGTTAGGGGTCTGATTTCACTCTACACCAATTAAAAGCCAATCAGACCATCTATATTTATCTGTTCTCAATATGAAAGAAATTCTGAATGTGAAATTAGATCAGATCATACAAAAAGACCTCCCACACAAGTGTCTCACAAGAGAAAATCAGTTACAGATATGGATATATAATTATCAGAACTGGAAGTCACACCACTTTTCTAACTAGGACCATCATAAACTTATGTTAACTAATCTTAGCTAAGTGGGCCCTCACAGCCACAAGGCACTGCTTTTATTTTTCCCAATTAGCTCTCTAGTATATTCCCCAAACTGTTCCAAAGCTTCTCTTTTCTCCTCCAGCCTCCCCTCACCCTCATACTTTACTGAGAAAACCGAAGCAGTTTATCATGAGCTCCCTCTTTACTTCCATTCTATGCCTCAAACTATTTGATATCCCCCATTCCTCCCTTTATTCCAGTCTCTGATGAAGAAGTAGCCCAGTTCAGTCCCTTACTACCTTTGTGGTTTTGAGTAAGTTTGTTAACCTGTCTGGGTCTCATTTCTCCAAGTGACTTGCCCATTACACAAGACTTAGTAGCTACTACTATAAAGAAGTAGAGAACATGGAATAAAATATTACAAAAGGCAAAAGGTATAGGCTTATAATAATAATTTACCAAGCAATATTAAATATAATCCTACTAAGGAAAAAGAGAGCTTTGGCAAAATAGAAGACTTTCAAGCATTCCTAATGAAAAAACTGAAGCTTAGTAGAAACTTTGAAATATAAACATGGAAGTAAAAAGAAACAGAAAAAGGTAAATTCAAGCTAGCCATCAAAAAAGACTTTATAAGAATGAAGTGTTTGCATTCTAATGGGGAGGGAAGGGGGGTGATACAAGCATCCCCTAAGAACCATGATGTCAGCAGGGACCATAGTAGGAGTCAAATAAGATGGAAGGTCTGGGAGTACTTTTTCTTTTTCATGATCTTAAAAGAAGAACAGAAAGGTAAGGAGTGGAGGAGGGGAAGGATATACTAAGGAAGAAAAGTAGAAGAATAGAAGAGAGACTTATTTCATATAATCTGGTGCAAGCTGAAATGTATACAAATGAGGAAGGGGTGGGGAGGAGCAGGTATTACTTGAAAATCTCTTTGAACTGACAGAGAGTGAAGTAAGCAGAATGAGACCAATTTAATACTATAAAAAACATTGTTAAAGGATGTGTTATAATGTTTAATAATCAGCTCTCCAGGAAAAAAAAATTTTCACCATCACTTTAAGTCTAAACAATCAACAACACAACAAATCAAGCTCTGATCTGAAGCATTTGCTGGTTTCCAAGGTGTAAATGCACACACTGGAAATTTAACAACTGGCTCTCACCGGTCAATTTGAGCTGGCTCCACATGTGGAAAGACTTAAGAATTATGATCAATGCAATAATCAACCATGATTCCAGAGGAATAATGATTTAGACTGCTGCCCATTTCCTGACAGAAAGGTTACAGACTAAATATGCAAAGTGAGATGCATATTTGTGGACATGGCCAATATAGGAATGTGTTTTGCTTGACTATGCATATTTGTTGCATGGGTCTTTGTTTTTCCCTGAGGGAGGTGGGGGCAGGGGTTGGGGAGGAGGTAAGTGTTGGAGAGAGAAAGGACAGATGCTTATTAATTTAAAAAATTAAATCAAGTAATGTAGCCTGTGGTCACATAGCTACTAAGTAGTAGAACTGTAATTCAAACCCAGATTTTTGACTCAAATTCTAGTGCTTTTTTCTATGATACCACACTGTAATCACAAGCTTTGACCATAGAACTTCATTACTTACCATGTCAGAGTTTCCACTGCCAACAGGATGGTATTTAACAGATCTTTGTGGCAACGTGGCCTTCATTTGTTCTGTCTGACCATCTCTATTTATCCGAGTCCGATCTGAGTTCCACAGCTCAAAATTTGAAGGTGGTAAAAAAGGAGGGATCACTGCTTTCAGCTTGTCATTTGGGAGTCTAGTAAAAGGAGCACTATTTCTTAACTGAAACAGAAAACAAACCTGATTTTTAAAAAGCTACTGACAGTTTCTTTGGTTCTAGAGTGAAGAGGCTGATGGTAAGGGAAGGGGAGGTTGAGAACATCAGTGTCGTAAAAGTACTTTGTACAGTGATCTCCTTTTGCCCTTGTTGCAAAATACTTTTCTTAAAAAATATATTTATTTATTTTTATTTTTCAACATTCACTTTTATAAGATTTTGAGAATGAAGAACAAATAACAACAACATTCTAATGCAGAGGTTCCCAAACTGATTTGGCCTACCACCCCTTTTTAAAAAAAAATTACTCAACGCCCCCCTCCCCCAGGGAATCTACTTTCTTTAACCTTTTAATAGTTTTTTGAAATTTGTATCATTTCAAATATAAAATTTTTTAAATGATGTATCTTAAATTTAATAATTTATTGTAAATTTATGGGTTTTTTCCTGCATTGAAATTTTGATGATGCAATATTGCATCTTGGAACTGTATAGTATCATGTTGTAAACAAGTCATTACATGCACATATTCCTGCTGATGCCTTCAGGACTTCTCAACAATACGTGGCATTCTAGCCTACCAATGCTTGCTTGTTAAGACCTGTCTGTGGACTTGATCACTGATCAGTTATAACTTGCAATTTGTGTGTTTATTTGGAAAATAATGTAAGCACTATGACTTTAACTCTGGTACACAACAGATGAAACATATACAAACAGTTTTTCAAAATTTTCTCATCTTCTCTTCTTTCCTTGTGCTTCCCTGCCCCCTTATTTTTATTCAGTGCCCCCCCAATTGCACCCAAAGCTACTACCACCCCCCTGGATCATTTCAGTACCCCTGGGAGGAGGGAGGGAGGTGGTATCACCCACTTTGGGAACCTGTGTTTAATGGAATGTAACACACAAAAGGGAGATGAAAAGTGGGTTGGGGCAGGGGGAAGGAGGTGGTGGTAAGAGGATCAAGGTACCCTTTGAGGTTATTATGTTCTAATCTAAAGAGTCAGAAGCAAAGTTGTCCAGCCTAAACCCCTCACAGAGTGAAGGCCCCAGGAGGAACTCATCAATGGGAAAAGAGAACTGGCATGGCAGAGGGATATTCAAGAGTGAGAAGGCCACTTAGGTAGATAGATGTTTCAGGGTGAGTAAGCCCCAGGTGCTAGGGAAGGTTCAGAGTGGGAGGGATAAATGGAGAAAGTATTTAGAGTAAGGGGGATAGAGAGAGAAAAGAGAAAAAGAGAGATGGGAAAGAAATGGATTGCAGAATAAGACCTACAAGTGGCTTCCCAGTCCCTGTTGTGGGAATGACAAGCTTTGAAGCTAAAGGTGAAAAGACTGGGAAAAACAACAGGCAGGACAGACTGGGCTACATTGGCCTACCTGTTACTGGGATCTGGTGCTGACTAACACTAGGAAACTTTAAGCATGAGCCTTTTCCAGTGCTGCTTTCCATAATGGAGAAAATTAATGTGAAATACATAATAATTTTAAAATACTTAACCATTGTTGTCAATAATGTATCTTCTTTTTCTATTCTTGTATTGGTAGAACCTGAAAAGCAAAGCAGATACATTTGGAAACCTGATAATCAATATCCCCAGGACATTAATATGAATGAAAGTATAAGCCTCAGTTTTTAAATTCTGAAAATATTCACTTTTAGATTTTTTAGCTCTTTAATAATATTCAATTTCTTAATTGAAGAAAAGCATTTAAAAATTTAATACATGCTTTTGAGATTTCCAAAAGTAAACTAGGAAATACAACATCACATACATGGTGACAGGGTCACCAAAGAATATAGAACTTTAGTGTTAGAAAAGATGACCTAGTCCAACCTCATGCACAAGGCAAGAATCTTCTGTATAGCAGCTCTGACAAGTGATCATCCAACCTTTGGTTGAACACTTAGGATCCTAAGATTTGGAGCCAGAAGAGATCCCAGAGATAATCTAGTACAAACACCCTCCCCACCCCATCCCCACTTTACAGATGAAGAAACTAATTCCCAGAGAGATTAAGCAACCTGACTATCACCAGTTCCTAGTCCCTCTAACTACAAATCAGTTAGACCACAGTTATTTCCTAATCCTACCAAGCCTTGACCGACTTTTGTAAGTGTCTGCCTCCTGAATATTTTTTCATGTTTCCTCTTCCATGCACTGAAGGTTCAGGGGTAATGGGAAACTCACTGCCATCCAGGGTGGCCCATTCCACTGTAGATGAGCTTTAATTTTCAGAAAGTAAATATAAAATGCAAATAGATAAAGGCTTTGGGATCTCTACAGCATGAGGCACTCCCTTCCCCAACATAGATCCTAACATAGGGATGATTTAATAATAAAGCTAGGGGGTTGACTGAGGCATAGAAGTTAAGAGACTAGCCCAGATTCACTCGGCTCATAGGTATCAGAGGCAGGTTTTTCTGACTCAAAGACCAACATTCACTATACCACACCATACTTAACAGGTACCAATTTTTTTTAATGTTTTTCTTGGTCTTCAGAGCAAGAATGGGAAGTATTGTATATAGAAGAAATTACCTTCCCCCACCAAATGATAAGACAGAAAGAATAAAAATTAAAACTCTCCAAGAAATAGGGCAGAAAATGTGTATTTTCTAGAAAAAAACTCCCAGAATTTTACTTTCAGTTTTCAATAACTAAGAGGCTGAAGGAGGTCCCTGACACTATACTATGGTATCCAAAAGTGGACTTTTCCTACATATTTAATAAGAAATGTGATAAAATGTCATGTCTCCAAACTTTTACTGGAAGAAATGTTGTTGCTGAAATGACTAGATGCAGAATAACTACCTTCCTCACTTTAAAAACAAAAAGTGTCTTATGAAAGCCTTGTAAATAAGAGTGAGAGATGTGGACTGACACAGCAACTAGATAGATTTGATCTTGACTGACTAATCCATGTTGTCTGATGGATAACTATAAACCAGGAGATATATTTCTAGTAGTAAGCACCATGGTTCCATCTTCAGCCTCATTCTGTTCAGTATTTTTGTCTAACATTTCACTAAAGGCACTGATGGTTCATTCATCAAAGTGTGTGAATGATGAAGTTGGGAGCGATACTTAATACACTATATAACAGAATTAGATCCCAAAAGATTTTGAAAGGTTGGTGTAAGGGACTAAAGGTAAGATAGATTTCAACAGTAAAAAAATTTAAAGTGCTGTAATTGGTTTCCAAAAAAACCAACCCCACAAGTACAAGATGGGTCAGTCACCACTATAAAATCCATAGGAAAAACAGCTAGGGATTTTCACAGAAGCACCAAAACTGTGAATTGGAAGAGACCTCAAGAGTCCATTTAGTCTAACCTGTAATCAACCAAAACCTTGCTACAACGTTCCCAGTGAGAGTTTGCCTGAAGACCTCGAAGGGGGTATCCACTGTCCTCTGAGGTATCCTAAGTCCTAAGCCTTTGAACAGCTCTAATTATTAGGAAGACTTTTTTCCCTGTGTTAAGCCCAAATCTGTCTTGGGAAGTTCTTGCTACTGTTCCTCGTTCTGTCCTCTACAATCAAGGAGAACAAGCCTGATTGTTCCTCTTCAAGTATTTGGAAGACAACTATGTTGGTTCCCTCCAAGTCTTCTCTCTGGCCAGCTCCTTAAAGAATAATTCTCTGCTTTGAATAATAGGAACAAGACTCACGCTTATTTTTTTTTAATTTTCTCTGAATTTCAATAATGACAGTCACACAATCCTTGTAACAAATTATATCAGTGGGGGGGAAAACAGCCTATTCAACTGCACAGTTTTTACTTTACCAGTGTCCTTGCTCTGGGCAGCAATGTCGGGAATTCCAGAATTTCTTGTCTCATCCTGGGGACTTGCTTTCATTGTAGAATCCAGAGATGGCTCAGATTCATCGGTGAAAGGCATAGGGTGATTACTGGAAAGCCCCCGATGTAACGTTTGGGTCAACTTGAGCTTTCGGAATCTGTTGGACATTCTATTCCACCATGACTGAGGAAGGGGCACCCAGTAAAAGCTTGGTTAGGCCACAATCAGATTAGCTAAATATTCACATTTTTCCTTTGAGCTATTGCTTTAATAGAGACACTAATTTTAAAGATTTGAAGTAATACACTTTACACATATTATCTCCATTGATCTTTGTAGCAATTCTCTGAGGGAGGCAAAGATGATGTAGTACTCTTCACTTTACAGATACTGAAATGGAGTACCAGAAGAATTCCATGACATTCATGATGTAGAATAAAAAGCAATGGATTTAGAGGCAGCAAAAACAGGTTTGAATCCACACTCTGCTACATACTGACTAGGTGATGAGTCACTTAATTTGTCTGAACCTCATTGTTGTTGTTGTTTAATCATTTTCAGTTGTGTCTGACTCTTTGTGACCCCATTAGGGGTTTTCTTGGTAATATACTGGAGTGGTTTGCCATTTTCTCCTCCAGATCATTTTAAGGATGAGGAAACTGAGGCAAAGGGGGTTAAGTGACTTGCCCAGGGTCACACAGCTAGTAAGTATCTGAGGCCAGCTTTGAACTAAGGAACATGAGCATTCCAGACTCCAGGTCCAGCACTCTATCCACTGAGCCACCTAGCTGAACCTCAGTTTCTTCAATCTGTAAAATGAGAGGTTGGATTAGATGAATTCTAAGAGAATCTAAATCTAAATCTAAGAGAGAGCCAGGACTAGAACCAAAATATTGTATTTTCTTTGAAAAACCTAAAGAAATGTCTCCGTTTCCTCCCAGGGGTCCTTACCATCTTATATCAACAACAACAATAACAACAAGCATTTATTAGGTGCTACTGTGTGCAGAGCACTGTGCTAAGAGCTGAATAAATACAAAGATAAAAAGCAGTCCCTGGTCTCAAGGAGATTACAGTTTAGTAGAGGTGTAATGTATTGGGTCCTGTGTCTGCTCCCAGTATAAAGACAACAATGGCATTAGTGAACGGGTGTTCACAGTAGTGAATACAGGCAATTCAGACTGTGCCAAGTCTTGCCTTTCTTCAGTAATTCACTAACTGAATTGATTCGGACTGCTACACAAATTTTTAAAACATAAAACTTACAAGAAGGAATTTAAGGTCCCCAAACAGGCTTTCCCCACAGAGAAAACAAAAATTAGTCTGGTCATGGGGATAATGGGGAGATTTATAGGGTATCTTTTTTTTCCACTCTTGTCCTCCAAAGTACCCAGCTTAACTGCAGCACAGGTAAGTCTCATAGTCAGAGACAAAAATCATGAAAAAAAAAAGTCCCTATCAGGTAGCAGACATTCTGGAAGCTGGAGGTAGCTTGTTTCCATGTAATCAGATTATGTCCTGGGAGTTTTTCCTAGAACAACAGATGGTAAGAGTCATACCTCCAATAATAGCTGGCAAGGACCCTGTAATCCATTTTTAGAGAGTCCTTAGTTTTGGTTCCTTTTTCCTTCTAACAACATAAATGTCTCTCTTCTCCAAACTCAGCAATCTCTCTCCCTTCTCCAAGTCTTAATATAGGCTGTCTCTCATATCTGGAATAGACTCTACCCAACCCAGCAGACAAATGAAAACTGTATTTTCACATGAAGGACAGTTCTGGTGCCATCTCCTACATGATGCCTTCTCTGATTCCCTTAATTATTAGCAAAAGGCCATTTTTCAATTTTTTATGATAAATGGTCCATAGTCAGGGTTTCAACTTCATATTATCCATTCAGGTTTATTTCTCATTTCCCCCCATTTTTCCTCCCACCATTGATAAGACAAAAGGTATAAGATAACCCCTCCTCAGATAACCTGTTTTTTTGTCTGTGTATAAGTTGGATCTCCCCAATACAATGAAAGTTCCTGTTTTGTTTTTGTATTCCCAGCCCTTAGCACAGTGCCTGAAACATAGAAAGTATTTATTATATGTTCATTAAATTAACTAAATAGTCTTAATTTTTAAAGCAAAGGCAAATCAGGAAAAAAAACAGATGATTCATGTTTACTCAGAATATGTGCCTATGAATTAAAAACTATAATTTCAAGCAAACTCAGTTTGCAAAAGTTGTCTATCAAGTCATGACATGATGATATGCTCGTATTTATCAGACATGTATTAAGAGTTGGAGTGTGGAAGGAAGGTAGAAAATTAGGAGAGAATTTTTACAACCAGTCTCTCTGATAAAGGCCTCATTTCTAAAATATATAGAAAATTAAGACAAACTTATAAGAACACAAGCCATTCCCCAATTGATAAATGGTCAAAGGATATGAACAGACAGTTCTCAGATGAAGAAATTAAAGCCATCTACAGTCATATGAAAAAATTCTCTAAATTGTTATTGATTAGAGAAATGCAAATCAAAACAACTCTGAGGTACCACATCACACCTATCAGATTGGCCAACATGACAAAACAGGAAAATGATAAATGTTGCAGAAGATGTGGGAAAATTGGAACACTAATACATTGTTGGTGGAGTTGTGAAATGATGCAACCATTTTGGAGAACAATTTGGAACTATGCCCAAAGGGCTACAAAAATGTGCATACCCTTTGATCCAGCAATAGCACTTCTAGGGCTATATCCCAAAGAGATCAAATGAATGGGAAAAGGACCCACATGTACAAAAATATTCATAGCAGCTCTTTTTGTGGTGGCAAAGAATTGGAAATTGAGAGGATGCCCATCAATTGGGGAATGGCTGAGCAAGTTGTGATATATGAATGTAATGGAATACTATTGTGCTATAAGAAATGATGAACAGGCTAACTTCAGAAAAACCTGGAAAGACTTATATGGTCTGATGTTGAGTGAAGTGTGCAGAACCAGGAGGACTTTGTACACAATAACAGCCACGTTATGCAATGACTAAGATTGTTAAACTGAACCCTTCTCAGCATTAGAAGGATCTAAGACATCTCCAGAGACCTCAGGATGGAAAATGCTGTCCACATCCAAAGAAAGAACTATGGAAGTCAAATCGCTCTCACTTATTTTTACCTTCTGTTGAGTTTTGTTTCATTTTTCTGATGGTTCCTCCTATTGCTTTTAATTTTTACTTACAACTTCACTAATGTGAAAATATGTTTAATGGGTATGTAAATGTGAAGCCTATATCAGATTGTGAGCCTTCTGGGGGATGGTGGGGGGGGAGGAAGGGGGAGAAAAATTTTCAACTCAAAAGCATATGGAAGTGATTGTTGATAAGTCAAAATAAATTAATAAAAAAAAAGAGTTGGAGAGTGGGCTTTAAATAACCTGACACAGTGTGTAAGAAGAGTCTTTATAATCAAAATTAATTTATCAGTTTAGTTTCTTTTTTTCCTGACAATCACCTCTCAGGATATTTGGCTAAATTTTAAGACTAGCTTTCAATTTTTTGACTTGATTTCTTTTTTCTAAATGTTCAGCAGTCAGTATTTCTTCAATCTGATATCTAGCCAGGCTTTCATTCTCTTCCCTATTTTTCCTCCTATAAATAATCACTGTCCCCAATCCTTTCTGTTCAGAACAATCTTAGTTACTGCTCTTTTTGACCCATTTACACTTTGTTTCATGATCCTTTTTTTGGTCCCTGTAAAGAATAGCACAAATTACCCAGAATTCTCAGGGGGTATAGACCATCATGCACAGAGACAGTGTGTGTTAATAGAGAGAGCAGGCCTCAAAGCCGCGATGACGCTCAAGTCCATCCCTTAGCACGTAATGCATGTGTGATTCTGGGCAAGTCACTTAATCCCTCCATGCCCCAGGAAGAGATCCAATGCTAGAAATTACAGGGTAGTTGCCCTTTACATTGGTAAGGGGCCTTCCTCACCAGGGCTTCCCTAGTATGATAAAACCACAAGTTCAGACAACACCAAAAATAGAACAGACCTCACTTGGGAAGAAAAAACTTTTCTCCAAACAATAATGGTCCAGATAATCTAGCAAATATTAACAAAATTAATGCCTGACTTCATGTATGTGAATTATCCACAGATAATCTTTCTGAATTGCAAGCCAGCTTCCCTTGGATACCCTGCATGTTCATGGGAAGTTTTTCCAGTTGGATATTTTCCTGATAAATGGAGATACCCCTTCAAGTGTCAAAACTTTTTTTATTCCATATTTTTTTGAAGAAAATATTTTAGAAATATATCCTTACATACTTAACTTTTTCAAAAAGGATATACATGCACAATACATAATAGGGAAAAGCCTTGGACTTAGAATAAAAAAAATTCTGGGTTCTGCCACTTCCTGTGTAACCCTGGATACATCACTTAACCTCTGGAGGCCTCAGTTTCTTCATTTGTCAGAAAACTGAGTGTAATAATCTCTAAAGTTCTCCCTAGCTCTAACTCTATGATCCTTTGACTTGGTTTCAAGTCCTGGCTCTGATACTTAGCTGTGTAACCTAAAGCAATTCATCTAAACTCTCTAAGTCTCAGTTTCCCTCGGTTTGTTGCAAGGAAAGTGCTTTGCATATCATGAAGCACTATGGAAATGTGTTGTTGTTGTTGTTATCACCTCCAGGACTAAATATAAAATCCTTAGTTTTTAAAGCCCTTCATAATTTGGACCATTCCTACCTTTCCAATGTGACACTTATTTCCCTTCCATATCCAGTGACCTTCTTGCTGTTCCTCAAATAGGATGCTCCACCTCTTGACTCTGGGCATTTTCATTGACTGATACCAAGCCCTGGAAGGCTCTCCCTTCTTGACTTTGCCTCCTGTATTCCCTAGCTTCTTTCAAAAATCCCACCTTCTGCCAGAAGTCTTTCTGGATCCCCCTTAATACTAGAGCCTTCCTTCTAAGCTTATCTCCAGTTTGCCCTGGATAAATCTTGTACATACAAAGTTGTTTGTATGTTGTTTCCCCCCCTAGACTGTGAGCTCTTTGAGAGCAGGGGTTATTTGTGCCATTCTTTGTATCCCCATCTCTTATGTGCCTGGTACATAATAGGTGCTTCGTAAAAACTCAGTGACTAACTGACCTCTAGATAAATGAGGTCTTATTGAGCATAGCTCATGTTTTTGTAGGGGACCATCCACAGAAGAATATGTAAGTACTAATTCTCTAGTGACTATAGTATACTACTGACTATAATGTAAAGAAATGGGGAAAAAGAGACCACAGATAATCAAACTGAGTGATATATGATGATAAATGGTAAACATATTGCTTTCAATTCCTCCAGAAAGATGCAACTGCCTGCTATGGAAATAAGGTTGTTCTATGAAATGCTGCAATTTTAAAGGATTTTTATGCAAGAAAACAAGCCTAAAGTAAGAGTCTACTGGTCACACATATGCTCCTTTCTTTTTTGTTGGGCAATGCATACTTAGGTCCTAGATAACCAAGTGATGGGTAGTCATACCTCTACTATCTATCTACACGTGTATATTCCTCACTAGTAAGGAAGGAAAAAGGCAAACCTTCAATCCACCTCTGTCATCTGGCAACACTGGTACACTCAAGGATTGTCTAATCCTGGAATGGGGCAAAGACGACTGGCTGATTGACTTGCTTTTGTCTTTATTTACTTGCATGCAGACTGATGCCAACAACCGTACAAGTTCTGTATCTATAAATGCAAAAGGAGACATTTTACCTCTAAGTAGTATCATTAGTCCAAGATTTACTGGTATGTCCTACCAAAGGTAGGATTTAAACCCAGGTCCTCTGACTTCAGAACCAATGTTCTAAACATATACCATGTTATGGTATACCATGTTACCTTCTAAGTTCTAGAAGGTTGTGTCAGGCAAATTAAGTGGCTTGCACAGGATCACACAGCTAATAAATCAGAGGCAGAATTTGAACCCAGGTCTTCCTGACTCCTAGCCCAGGACTTTATTCTGTATACTAGGATGTCACCTGATCAGTTAGGTCAATAAAATTATAATTACCTTTGAGAATCTTTTCAGTTAGCAAAAGCATAATTAAAATGTGGCTGAAAATAAAAATGCTTAAGTTTTTCTTCTTCATCAATTAAATATTTCGGCATATAAACTCTGCCCTTCTCACCTTATGTCTGGATTATTGCAAAAACCTGCTGGTAGGTATGCCTGCCTCAAGTCTCTTCTTACTCCAATCCATCTTCCATTTGGCCACTAAAGTGACTTTCCTAAAGCACAGATCTGATGTCAACCCCATTCTCCCGCCATTCCCCCCAGACTCCCACTCAATAAACACCAGTGCCTCCCTATTGCCTCCAAGATCAAATACAAAATACTCTGCTTTGGCATTCAAAGCCCTCTATAACCTAGTCCCTCCTGCCTTTCCAGTCTTCTTACCCCTTACTCCTCAATATATACTCTTCTACTCAGTTTCACTGGCCTTCTGGCTATTCCACCAAGAAAATGCTCAGTTCTCAGCTCTAGACATTCTCTCTGGCTGCTCCTCATGCCTGGAATGCTCTCCTTCTTCTGCCCCACTAACTGACCTCCCTGGCTTCCTTTAAGGCCCAGCTAAAATCTCATTTTTGGGGCAGCTAGGTGGTACAGTGGATAGAGCACTGACTCTGGAGCCAGGAGGACTTGAGTTCAAATCCAGCCTCAGACACATAACACTTACTAGCTGTGTGACCCTGGGCAAGTCACTTAACCCCACTGCCTAGCCAAAAAAAAATCCCATTTTTCTAAAGAAGGCCTTTCCCAACTCTTCCTAATTCCAATGTCCCCACCCCTGTTAATTATTTCCTATTTATCTTGTATATAGCATTCTTTGTAAATATTTGTTTGAACATTGTCTGCCCATTTGTAAGCTATTTGAGGTCAAAGATTGTCTTTTACCTCTTTTTGCTTAGCACAGTGTCTGGCACATAGTAGGCATTTAATAAATATTTACTGATTGACTGCATTGAAGAAATAAATTTGTAATAATTAAGCAAAGGTCTATTTAATTAAAGACAACATTTATTAAATAACATACCCGGGTCATTCAGCAGCATGACTAGATCAAAAGCTGTATATCCATTTTTTGCCCGAAGAGTAACATCAGTTCCTTGATTTAACAAATATTTAACAACTTCTTTATTCCTATTCAAAACCAGAACAAAACAAAAGTCACATTTGCTAAGAGTAAAAAACTGATCCTTTCCTGAGTCACTAGAGATACCGTAGCAGTCACTGTAACTCAATACATGGAATGTTTGGAAAGACCATTCTATATATTGTTACTAACTAGCACAATTAATTGGAAATTTTCAAAGTATCACTTTGGACAGAGACTACATCATTTCTGTTCTTATAACCAGAACACAGGTGCATATAGTAGTTATTTAACAAATGATTGTTGTGTAAGTGAATCCTTACTACCCTTGTATGGAAGATCTCTTATATTATTTAATCTAATTATATTTGATACCCTTAATTTATTCCAATATTCTAATAGATCTATGACCTGATTGAAGTGAATACTATAACAATGCAAAACTGCTGTCCATTAATGCCGACCAACTAATGGAAATCCTTTTATAAATCAGTCACACTAGGGGCCCACCCTACTGCTTTCCTCTAGCTGTCTTGACCCTGTAGGGGCACCAAGGGAATACAAAAGCTATCAATTACCCCTCCCACCCACTAACCAACCAGGCCCACTTTTTTCCTAGTCATACATTCCTCTGATAATAGCCTTTAATTTACATACTAAAGAAGTAAAAGGCCAAGACATTACCCAATGAGTGACAAAAGACATATCTTTCAGGGATACCATATGGCCTTGGAATTTCCTCCAGGTCTAAGATGTGTTTATGCAGAGCTATGAGCCCGGTTGGTCTCCCTGCTTCAAGTCTTATGCCAATCCATTCCTTAACTTAGCTGTAAAATTGATCTTTCTAAAGCATAGGTTTGACCATGTCACCACCGCCCCCCAATCAGTAAACTCCAGAGGCTCCCTGTAACCTCCAGGATCAAATATATAAGTTGGCTTTTAAAGCCCCTTATAACCTGGCCCCCTCCTACCTTTTCATTCTTCTTCCAACTTACTCCCCCCCCCCCCCCGACATACTCTGTGATCCCATGACATTAACTTTTTTCCTGTTCCTCACACCAGATACTCCATCTCCTGACTCTGGGCATTTTCACTGGCTGTTCCCCTATGCCTGAAATTTCTTCCTTCCTTATCTCTGTCTTCTGGCTTCCTTCAAGTGCCAGATAAAATCCTGCCTTTTCTGGAAGACTTTACTCATCCCCCTTAATTCTAGTGACCATCCTCTGTGATTCCCTCCAATGTATCCTATCTATATCTTGTTTGTATGTAGCTTGTTTGCATGTTGTCTTGTCCCATTAGACTGTGAGCACCTTGAGAACAGGGACTAGTTTGGTTTTTTCTTTCTATCTCTTGTGCATAATAACTCAGTGCCCAGCACATAGCATGTGCTTAATATATGCATATTGAATGACTGACCTGTTGAATGTGCTAACTAATCTGTTCCTAAATAGTTTATGATGGTGAACTGCTACCAAAATCATTCAGCTGGTGCTTAGAGTCCTTCAACCCAAAGAATGTTATAACTTTAAATGTGAAAAGTCCAATTAAATCACCCATTTATGAGCGATTGCCTTGTAATACAACATTTTCTGCAAAAAAAAATCTCACTCAATGATTGTTTATGGATATGGATAAAATTTTGTGAAAGTGATAAAAATCTACAGAATAAATAGGATGTCAAAAAATGCCTCTTGAAGTAAGGTCTAATAATATAGTGAGAGGCAGTGCGTCATAGTGGTCAGGAAGATCTGGACTCAAGATACATGTTAACTTCTGACACACACTAACTGGGTGACTCTGGGAAAGTCACTTAAGATCCCAGGGTCCCAAGCAGCTCTATTAGTTGAAAAACTGATGCTGATTTGCCACAATAGAGGGAGTACTCTACGCTAATGGAATACCAGGTCTAGTTTGAAACTACATACACACACACACACTCATAGACCCACACAGACCCCCCCACACACACACACAATTTGTGACTGCATTCATTTTTTTCCCCAGACTTAGGCTTATGAGATTTCTAACTAGAAAGGAAACTCAGTGATGACCTTATTCAAGCCCTTCATTTTACAGATCAAGAAACTGAGGCCTGAGGAGGTTAAGGGACTCCCAAGTTCATATATCGAATAACTAAGAGATTCAGGATTTGAACCCAAGTCCTCTCATTCTGACTCCAGTACTTTCTCCACTATTGCATGCTGGCTCCTTATCATGAATGCCCTGACATCCCTGAAGAAAATGCCCAAACCCGGGTATTTCTGATTTAATAAAAGAAGCAACTTTATAGCATTTAGCTCTAAGAAAGAAAATAAGAGCTGCAATTCCTCCCAAAAGCAGTTTACCCATGGTAAGTGGCCTGCATTAGTGCTGTCCATCCATGAACATTATCCTGCTTGTCAACATCTGCATTTCTCTCAACAAGCAGCTGCACAAGAGACAACTGTCCAGTGACAGCTGCTAGCATCAGAGGTGAGGCTCCGTCCCCATTTATGATATTTACTTGGTTGGGATCTTCATCTATAATCTCTTTAACAAGCTGAAAGTTTCCTGAAAATAGAATAATGTTGCATATAAAAGTTAGATATCTGCTAAATGAATACTCTGTAAAAATGTGAGCACATAGTTTATATACAGAGTAATAATAATACCTACTTCCTAGGGTTGCTTTGAAGATAAAGTGAGCTATTTGTAAACTGCTTTGCAAACCTTAAAGCAGTATGTAAATGCTAGCTATCATTGTTATTTTAATTTATATTATATATGGAAGACTCCTGGTAGAACAGTGGATACAAGCTTTGGACCTGACATCAGGAAGACCTGAGTTCAAATCCAGCCTTTCTAGCTATGTGACTCTAGGCAAGTCACTTAACCTCTGTCTGCCTTATTTTCCTCATCTGGAAAATGCAAATTATAATAGCACCTACCTAAAAGAGTTGTTGTGAGGATAAAACAAGAAAACAATTATAAAGTCCTTTGCAAACCTTAAAGTATTAGCTATTATTGTTATTCTACACACACAATCTTTATTTTTCCATGTTTATTTTTTGGCTAGTCTGCTCATCCACCTATATTCTAAAAAATAAGAAGGCTACTATATATTTCTTGCAAAAATAACCTGCTTTTTTTGGTCTGTTGCCCACATTTCTGAAAAGTGATACCGTTCCATTAATAGTGTCTTTATTTGCTTTACTTTTGCATGAATTTGCCATCTAGTGGTGAAAAAAGGTAGCTGAAATACTAAACCCAGCATTTTATACATGTATACATACTTACATATGTGCATGTATACATGCGTGCATACGTTTATACAGACATATGCTTAAAAGTATTTTCCAAAGCACTTACCCATTTTCAAAGCGTGGAAAATATCAGGCCGTCTTTTTTCTTCATCTGAACAAACAAAACATTTAGACTAAAAAAGTTGAAATCAGAACAATTTAATATAATGGAGAATTCAAAATAACAGCATAATTTTACATATAATCTTTTTCTAGAAAGCATCCTTTTTCTTAGCCATATCTAAAGTATGATTAAAGTGATTTTATCCATTCTAGAGATAAAATTCCTTATTATTAAAGAAGGTGATTTTAACGTTTCAGAAGAGTCCTAGTTTTCTAACTAGTGACTAAAGGGTGCCTTCCATGTTTTTCTGTATCATGGGGATCTCCCTAAGAATTTCAAGGCTTTCTCTGCCATGGGAGTAGGGAGGGGGTGGTTTGGACCTGGGGGGGTTTTGGTGTACTTCTTTGGAGTGGACTTCCAATGAAGCATATTCATGATTCTGTCTGTAACTTGAAGGGCCCAGGGCCACCAAGGAAGAGAGCCACTCCTTAGGCCTTCTTCAGTCACATTCTTTCTCTTACATGATCAGTATGGCAAGCTATCATGGAAAATCCAAATGTGTGGTTTCTTTAAATGTAGGAGGATTAATCTTAATTAACTTATTTAGCACCTGAGGGAGGAACAAAGGCTAATATCAAGGCAGTATAAAGTGATAGATTTGGGTTTAATATAAAGATTTTCCTAACAATTATAGTTCTATGGGAGTGGAAAAGGATTCCTGGACGGGTAGTGAGTTCCCTGCCAATGGTGGTCTTCAAACAGAGGCTGGATAACCCTTTGTCTGATTTGTTATAGGTGGGACTCCTGCTTTAGGTGGGATGGCCTTCTCTGAGATTGTGATTATTTTGACAGTCCGTTCCTTATCTGTGGATGGTGGTACAAACAAATGGGTGTTGCAGATTATAGAATCTCACAGAAGTTCATATTTGGAAGATGCCATCTAGACCAACCCACACCTGAAACTGCAATATTCCCAACAAGTGGTCATCCAGCCTTTACTCATAGTCCTTCATTGGCAGGGAACTCACTACCCATCCAGGAATCCGTTTCTACTCCTGTAGAACTATAATTGTTCCTCTCTTAGGAGCTAAATAAGTAAATTAAGATTAACCCTCCCACATTTAAAGAAACCACAAATGGGCAGCAACCCCCTTTTGTATGTTTTCCTAAAATATAAGTTGGCAGACACATTCCCTGTGTATGGACACTAGTCTCCTCTGGCAACTCCCATTTCCTAAATGTCAGATTCATTTTTGCTTGTGTCTTCAGAGTTTTCTTCTTGGTAGCTTCCTTTCCCTTGAGGGCTTACTTCTCCTATTGAATTTTAGCTCAGTTTGGACCCTTCTAGCCACTTTCTGAAGTTGACACAGGACAACAAAAAAAAGTTTTATTAGCTATATTGCCAAAAAGATCACAAAATAAGGGATAGAACCAATGTTCAGTATGGATAGAACAGTGATAAAGGACCATGCTGAGGTTGTCCTTTATCATATGAAGAATAAACCAGTCTTTGGACTGGAATGGAAAAAACAAAAATGATGGATGGGCTTTTGAAATCCCAAACTAGTAAAAAAAAAAGAGTAAATAAGCATCTAGTTGCCCTTGATGAGTTCAAGTCACCAGGCCCAGATGGACTGAATTCGAGGACCCTAGAATAACCAGTTTACTGAACCACTTTGATTCTTTTTAACAATTAAAAACAACTTTACTAATTAACAATCAAAAGGAGGCAACTTCAAAGTTAAAAGGATATTCCACAATCATCAGGTGGTCAGGAAACACTTCAGAATGTCCAGAAGGCAAGGAAAGCTCAGTAGTCCTCCACAGCCAACAATCAGGTGTTATTTTTCACAAGCAATAAAAGCTCACCATTATCTGATCCAATCACCCCCGCATCCCTCTCATTCTTCTTGTGGCAGAAAAATTCCTACTTTCTTAAAGGGCCAGCCTCATTTACTTGCTGCTAGCTAAAACCATCTAGTGTGTAAAATCCTAGGTGGGACTACCCATGCAAAAAGTGAAAGGAATTTCAAAGGGTTGGGAGAAAAAAAGGGAAAGTAGGAAGAGTTTCTAGCTTCAGCTACCCTCAAAAGTATAGAGGCATAGCAGCCCAATTCATACAGAGGTGTTAATGCATAGCTGTTAATAGTTCCTTATAAGGTTGATAGAATTCTCCAGAAAATTCGTGTGGAACAGAGTCCTTCTCCCAAGCTTTTGGCAGCTAATTTACAGTTAGTTCAGTTTCCTTTTCTGAAACTAGATTGCTTAAGATCTCTAAGCAGCCCAGGCTCCAGGCTCACTCTTCCAACTTGTACTAGCAGGTTGAGCACCCAACTAATCACTTTACCCCTTGAGGTTGTAAGAATAATCCTGAAATTGAACCACTTTCAGTGATATATGACAGAGTAGGAAAATGGGGAAAATGCCACAAGACTAAAGGTCAGAAGTCTTTAGGCTGATGAACATGATTTTAATTCCCAGCAAAATTCTAAAACATATTATAAAGGGTGGTTAGTGAATATCTAGATAAGGAAGTGGTAATCACAGAGACCGAAGGACTTCACTAAAACCAGTTATGCCAGACTAACCTCATTTTCTTTTTTGACAGATCAGTGAAATTCTGTAAGTACCACTTACCTAGATTTTAGTAAAGAATTTGGGAGTCTCTCATGTAATTCTTGTAGAAAAGATGGAGATGTGAGACAATAGTACAGCAAAGCAGAATGGTACTGGCACAATTCAGTTAAAGAATTCAATAAACATTTGTTAAAGGCCACATCAGGGGAGTCATTAATGGTCAGATGTCAACCTGGAAGGAAGTCTTAGTGAAATGCCACAGAGATGGCTTGGGTTTGCTCAGTGTGCTGTTTAGCATATGTTTGTGAATGACCTGGGAAAAGGCAGAGAAGACATGCATCTCAGATTTGCAGATTGCACTAGAAAAGAAAGTTAAAACAATAGCTGACAGAGTCAGAATATAAAAAGATCTTGACTGAATAGAGCACTGATTTGGCAACACAGAGAAAAGTATTTGAAAGTCTGTTATATGATACAAGAAGGCTTCAAGGAAGATGTGAAGTTTGAAGTGGGCTATGAAGGATGGACAGAATTTGTATAGGCAGAAAGATGAGGACATTCTAGATCAGAGTGTTGTTTGTTGTTGAGCCAGATTTTAGGTCTTGAACACCAGGCTAAGAAGAATCATTAAAATAGCCTCTTCCAAAAGAATATTGTATACTCTAACAGCGATATTGTTTTAAGAACAACTTTGAGTGACCTAGTCATTTTGATTATTAAAAATACATGAATATATGAAGAATAATGCTATCTACATCCAGAGAAAGAACATAGAAGTATGTATAGTATGGTTTTACAAATTTGTGTGTGTGTGTGTGTGTGTGTACACACATTTGTCTCTAATGGTAGCCATCTCTAGAGCAAGGGGTAGGGAGGGAAAGAGGAAAAAAAGTTACACGATAACTTTATTATATATTTAAAAGAAAAAAGCAAGTTGTACATAACAGATTTGCAGTTTCATATGCAATCCTCTTTTTTTCTATTCTACTTTGTTATGGAAATGCTTGTTTTATTTCCAGAATAAAAAAAAAAGAAAAAAATATTTTCCAATTACACTTTGAAAAATAGCCTCTTCTTTCCATACTTTTAATACCACATTAGTACTAATCATTTTCTCTCATATTCTTAATCACAGAACACTTCAATTTATAATTGTAGATTGATTCCTTGTTCTGGTTGGTGGCACCTCAGGATATCTCCAGTTTTCTCAATGAATATTTAAAATTTTTGAAAATCAAATTTTAATTTATTTAAATATAAAACCAAAAATATCATGGAGTACTTTTAGGAAAAATTAGTTATTAGAAGGAGCATGGGCCATAGTGGAAAGGATAATAGACCCAGAATCTGAAGATCTGGGTTGAAGTCCTAATACCTCCATTATTAGCCATCTACCTTCAAGGGAGTAATTTAATCTCTCTGAAATTAGGTTACATTATCTGTAAAATGACAGTAATAATACCTAAATTATCTATGTTATAAGGATGTTATGAGGAAAACACTGTAAACTGTAAAACACTATATACGTGTGAGTTATTATAAAAAGAGATTTGAACTGAAAGTTGGGAAGGTATTGTGAAGAGCAAAAAAAGAAAAAAATCAGGAAGAAAATTTCTGTTTGGAAAGCAATATTCATGTATAAATCATGCTGGTGTACATAGCCACAATTTTGTTGTTGTTGTTATTTTCATTCTGCTTCTTTTTAACTATGAAGAAGGCAGATTCAGGTACCCTGAGCACTTAGAGTTAGAGGGCACAGGAAAGATGAACCTTTCAAGGTTAGCACTAAATAAGGACCTTTCATTAAGACCATTTGTATAACAGGAGAAGAAAGACTTCAAAGTTTTAACATCTGCCAAAACTGGTTAGTAGACAGGTCGAACAGGGCAATAAAGATTCAGAGTGAGTTAGATCTACTTAAAGTTAAAGAAAACCACAGTAGACTGAAGAATAAGAACAGTTAACAGAATGTTGTTGTTGTTTAAGAACAATTAAAGTTTGGGGAGAAATGTACCTGTTCCTAAGTGTTTGCATTTCTTGAACTCCTATTCTAAATTATGCAACAGATTTTGACTATAACAAGTGAGTAATTGTTTTGAGGTTTTAATAGCGAGTTGTTGAAAGGCTTTTGATATAATTAGTCATACCTATACAAATAAAATTATTTCAAATATATAATTATAGTCCACGTACCATCATGTATTTTGTGGAAACTTACTTGAGATCTAAGACATCTCCAAAGGCCTCATGTTGGAAAATGCTATCCACATCCAAAGAAAGAACTATGGAGTTTGAATGCAGATCGAAGCATACTATTTGCTATTTTTTTCTTCTATTGTGTTTTGTTTCCTCTTTCTGGTGGTTCCTCCTATTGGTTCTAATTCTTACTTACAACATCACTAATGTGAAAATATGTTTAATAGGAATATATATGTATAGCCTATATCAGATTGACAGCCTTCTTGGGAAGGGAGAGGGAGAAAAATTTAAAACTCAAAAGCTTATGGAAATGATTGTTGTTAATTTAAAATAAATTCATTAAAAATAAAAAAAAGAAACTTACTTGAAGTCTGAGTACTGTAGCTAGAAACTAAATAAAGAGCTCTTTAAGTATTATCCTTACAAAGAGAAATCTAGAAATAGAGGTATAATTAGCTGGGCAGGGGGAGGTGTTGAATGAGTCTTCTTTCCTATCCATTGTATGCTTCCTCTCCATAGCAACCACCATTTCATTTCCATGCATAAGTTTCATGGTCCTCCCCTGACCTGTGCCCTCTGCATGGTGTAGTAGTTGCCACCTCAGTCTGCCATTGTCATGGTATCTCTTTCTTGGAGTCCACTTTTCCCCCTAATTCCCATAGGGGCAAGGGCCAGGCTCTCAAAGGGGAAGGGTTACTCCTTCTCCCAGAACAACTGCACCTATATTTGGATTGTTTTATGCCCTTCCCACCCACTAACCCACGCACAATTGCATTTGGTCTAGATGCAAATTTTGTTGTTGTTCAGTCATTTCAATCATGTCCAACTCTTTGTGGCTCCATTTTGGGGTTTTCTTGGCAAAGATAATGGAGTGGTTTGCCATTTCCTTCTCTAGCTCACTTTGCAAATAAGGAAACTAAAGCAAAAAGGATTAAGTGACTTGCCCAAGGTCACACAGCTAGTATGTATCTGAGGCTGGATTTGAACTCATGAAAATGAGTCTTCCTGATTCCAAGCCCAGTGCTCTATCCACTGTGCGACCCAGTCACCCCCTGGGTACACTAACTCCTAGTAACTGCTATGATTTGAATTCTCACTACTCATCAACCTGACATCTTCAAGCCTAGCCCTGTGATTCTTCTACTCTACCATGCTATCAACAACTAGACTTCCATGCACTGCCCTTAAGTAAACCAACAGAAAGTAAATGGCAATTTTTTTTTAGCTTTGCAATGCAAAATAAACAAACAAACAAAAACAAGAGGACAGAGACCCTTACCTGTTTTGGGTCTAACAGTTGTAACAGAATCCAAATAGTCTATCATTTCTTTATGTTTGAAATCAAGTGCAATTTCAAAAGAGGTTTTCTCCAGCACATTGACATGGTCAGGGTTAGCTCCTTTGTCCACCAGCTGCTGAGCCACACTCACTCTCCCATTAAGAGCTGCCAACATCAGCGGACTCCAGCCCATAGTCTTAACACTGTAATTGGCATCAGCTCCCCACTCCACTAAGAGGTGGACCACTGCCTCATGTCCATGCTGGGCAGCTATCATCAGGGCAGTTATGTCTGGCAGGTCCCCCTTGTTGCCATCCTCAAGTACACTCTGATTAAAATGGTCATAATTGTCAACGAAGGCTCCTGTTTCCAGTAAGAGCTTCACTGCGCTGAGATGACCACCTCGGGAGGCCATTGTGAGCACACTTGCCCCAAGTCTGTTCTGTGCATTAACGTCTGCGCCATTTTCCAACAGTATGTGAAGCACATTTATATGTCCAAATCTGTAAGAAGCGTAGGGAAACAATTAGAGAATCCAACAACTAAACACACCATAATAAGTGACAAGGAAATAGACCATTAGTCAACTTACATATTTATGCAACTTTATTCATCTATGTACAGGTATCTCTCTATATATAAACATACACATTACATATAATATTTATAAATATAACATTTTGGACCAGACCTTTGTGATTTTATTGGTATATGGGACACCTGGTTAAAAAAACTCCCTCTACCAATGCAGATTGGCAAATGCTCTGCAATTTTTTGTCTTAGAAGATTGTTTTGGGCATTGGGACGTTAAGTGACCTGCCCACTACGTGTCAGAAATGGGACTTCAGGTCTGGTTTTACTGACTCTCTGGCCAATGCTCTATGCACTATGCCACACGATATATGAAGGGTTGTGTGGTACAATAGATAGAACCCTGGCCTCAGAGTCAATTAGACCTGGCTTCAAGTTCACCTCTGATGTACACTGAATGTGTAACAGTAACAGCATATGTTAACATTGAGATGTATACACATAGGTATATGAATACACATATACATGATTCCTTCCATCCCTTTTCATTATCTTCCCAGACTTCCACTTTCTCCAAAAAAATTTTCCAGATCCAATCCTTCTTAGATTTCATTGTTCCATTAATTCCAACATCCTCCACCATTTACATATGTATATGTAGATAAATAATACATTAGATGCAGAGTACTAGTAGGTACTAGCCATGATACAAAGGAAGGGGAGCTACCTGAAGGAACTTACAACATGAAGGGAAACATAGGACAAATACAGGCAAAGCAGACACACACAACAATGTATAGGTGATTGTAAAATTAATTATAGCTTTATAGTGACCTAAAAGGCAGAGGAAGCTGGAATAAATGTAATAAAGAGTCAAAAAGGGGGTAATTTGGGAAAGTTTCATGGGAAAAGTAGGAGTTTGCCTGGGAAAACAAATAACAAAAAGGATGGAAAGGATTGCCTTAAGCAGAAAATTAGAATTATGGAGAAAGAAAAAAGTACAGATGAAAAAAGTGACCTGCCACTTTTAAAGTTAAAACTGGCCACAAAGAAGAGATAACTGAAATTGTCAGGAAACCAAATATTAATTTTGCCTCTGTTGTGTTCAGAGGCATATATCTTCAAGTAAACAAAAATAAACCTTGGGTACTGCATCTAGTGGTTGAAATACTGTTGGGAGTTTACAAATGTTCTAACTGGAATGAGAAAAAGTCTAGAAATCTTTTCCAAGATTGGCCACCAGTGAGACCACAAGAAGGCTGAACTAAAGAGTCAGAATTTTTGATCAGTAATGAAATCCACTCAGTGCTTTGATATCCTGGAATAAAAGCACCAAGCAGTGTGTCATTTGGTGCTATTCACTTCCATTTTCTAAAGAAATATCTTATCCCAATTCAAACAGGAATGCTTTTGAACCACCTTCCCACTCCTCATTTCCTCCTTGGTGCCAACACTATCCCAGGCATTAAAACTTTTGAGTTACCTTCTACTCCTTCCCTCTCCTTTGTCCCTCCATCTCCTATGGATTTTCACATCACATATCAGAAATCCAGTGCCCTCCATTGCCACTGTCATTGTCTTTGGGCAGGCCCTAACAGCTTCAAGCCTCAACTACAATGTCTGCTGCCCTGACCTTCCTGCTCTCATTTCTCCCCCTCTCAAAAGTACCCTGCATGTCTACAGATTCACCTTCCGAAGCCTCCACTTTCAGCATGTCCTTCTTTGGCTCAGGATCTATTTCCATAGCCAATAAATAGCAAATCCCACCAATTATATCTCTACAACCTTTTTTTTTCCACATCTGTCTTCTTTTCTTCACTCATGCAGCCATACCTCTAGTTTCAGCCCTCGTGACTTTTTGCCTGATTGGTTTCCATGAATCTCCCCAGTCTATCATCCACATAATTATCAAAATAATCTTCCCAAATAACTGGTCTGGCAATGTCATTCCCCTGATCAAAAAGCTTCTTCAGAGGTTTCCTGTTGACTCCAAGATTAAATATAAATTCCTTGATCTGGCATTTAAGGCCCTCCAAATTACACTACTCTGCCCTGCTGCCAATCCTAAAAGTTAATGTTTGGGTAACAAATAGATAAAAAGTGTTCAGATGGCCCTAGTTCCAGTATTCAAACAGGATCAAGAAAGATGAAAGATGCTGTTGTATAGCAGATAAACAACGACCTCAGCTAAGAAGACTGAGTTCAAATTCAGGCCAATACATCCTGGTGGAGTGACCTTGGGTTATTCACTTAATCTTGTAATGCCTCTTGTAATGCCAGGACTATAATTGCAGAACAGCTGTTGATCTACATTGGTGGTAAAAGTTCCCCAGATCAATGAAGTCATAGATCCATGCCAAAAAAAAAATGATAAAGAACAAATAGATTGGTTGGTACTGGGAAGAACCAAGCGTCTCCATAGGGAATCTGGCTCCCAGTAGAAGCCCATGACCAGCAGCTCTTCTGACAAAGTGGATCAGACATCTCAAGGTCCCCACCCTCAAGCATACCACATCTGTTTCCTAACTGACACAACTAAATAAATACTGAGAAAAGAAACCATGCCCACCATGTCTATTTATTCCAACCATATTAAACCAATATCATTCTAGTCTGCCCAGTTTTTCCACATACACCTGTATTTGTCTAGAGGCACAAAGAATGTCAGTTGCAGCACACACTAAAGTCAAAGAAAATCCAGGGTCTATCAAATCATTCAATTGGCTAGAAGTATAGGACTGTAAGGACTGGTCATGGAAACAGGCTCACTGTGTTTGCTCCTGCCAGACCCAGTTTTCACTGGGCCTGCCATATTTAAGAGGAATATTAACAAACCAGAATGAGTACAGAAGAGGGTAACTTGGGTGATAACAGGTGTTGAAAACATAACCTAATCAAATTGGGTGCAAGAACTAAGTAGGTTGAGCCTGAAGAAAAACAAAGAAAAGAAGTAATAGATGTAAAATGATAATGATGATGATAACATTTATCGTAGTACTTTAAGGTTTATAAAACATTTTACAAATATTATCTCATTTTTTCCTCACAACAACCATGGAAAGTATATGCTATTATCACCTCCATTTTACAGATGAGGAAACTGAGTCTAATACAAGTTAAGTGACCTTCCCAGGTTCCTGCTTTAGACACTCAGTAGCTGTATGATCCCAAACAGGTCACTAAATTTCTGTGAAACACGGGTCACCTACCTCATAAGGTTATTATAAGGCTTAAATAAGAAAAACATACATAAAGCCCTTTGCAAGCCTTGAAAGCATTACACAAATGTCAGTGCTAAAACAGGCAGAACTGGGATTTTCCTTCAGCCTTGGAAACTAGCCTTCTGTCCACCACACCCAGGCCTCTAGACTGTAGGTCTGGGCTTATTCCACCACCCTATTTTCCAACCTCAACCCATCCTTGGCCTTAGGCAGCTGTAGCTATCCATTAACTCTTTCCCTCCCACCAGGAAGTAGATTGCCAATGTTTGAGCCTAAATCAACAGAATTTAGTGAGTTTTATAATAAGTTTGTATTCCTCCTTCATAATGACTGAGTCAAGTCTGGCTCTCTGTTTTTATATATACAGGGGAAATGTCCATTGACTGGCTTGGCAGTGGGCGTGGAGAAGCTCAGCTTTTGGATGCAGAGGAGAAAATGGTAGGTTGGGGAAAACTGAGTCTGACTCCCTAATCCATGGGTCTCACCTAGATCCTGTTCCTATTTCCCTCTGAATTTTCATCTGTTTAAAGGTTCAAGATGTTCCAGGACCCACTTTCTTTGCTCATGATGGTGGTCAGATTGTAAAAATCACTTGTTGCTGACCACTTCTTCTTCCACAAATCCAGGCAGCCAAAAGCCCAGGGCTCACCACGTCTTCTCCCTCCACCCAAAATGAATCACAGATTAAGTGTTCATGAAATGTTGGCTGAAGTGCAAATCTCCATTTAGCAACAGGACTGAGTACAACAGCAAAGGGCTAATATAGTGGGACACTCTTCCCCTACCAATCTGGAAAGAGGTGGCAAAGGAAGGCTGGCATTGATAGCTAAGCTAAGTCCTTAATATATTACCCACATTAGTGATATTTCATGAGCACTTGCTTCCCTTAATGCCTAATTCCTTAAAAGTGAAATGACTATCTCTGGATTCCTGTTTAATTCCATAGCACAATACCTGCTGGTTCCTTGGGTATTCACAAATACCCCCCCCAAAAAAAGGACATTTAAAAAAAGCTTACCTAACAATCACAAGGCCCTTCCCTTCCAACCACCTTAAAGTTGCCTTGGTATTCTCAGTTTGGGTTAGTTAGCCCCAGGCAAACATTGTGATGTATGAAATTTGTCTTTGGTGTCCTCTACTTCTCTAGCTTTTCACAGTACCTCCTTGTCCTGGAGACCTCTGCACTGGACTGAGAGTCTAAGAGATATGGGTTCTAGTCTTAGCTCTGATGGAAACTAGCTGTGTGACCTGAAACAAGCCATTTGACCACCCTGTGCCTCAGTTTCCTCATCCTTAAAATTAAAGGGCTAACTAGTACCTAACATCCCTTACAACTCTAAAACTATATGAATCCAAGTGTTCTCCCCTCCCTTGCCCATTCCTGAATGTTATACTTGCCTGCCAAAGGGTCAATCAGTCCATGAGATATTGTGAATTGGTGAACTCATCTGACTGGTATGGCCCCAGCCTGCAAAATGCAGTTATGCCAAGGCTGATAAACCCAGAGCCTTGGTATTAGCCCCCTCCCCTTGCCCTTTGCTGAATGGCACAGCTAGAGTTAAGTTTCCTACATGCCTGTCCCTCATTCCTTATTCTTTAATATGTAATTTAGAGGGGTGGCTAGGTGGAACAGTGGATGGAGCTCTGGCCTTGGAGTCAGGAGGACCTGAGTTCAAATCTGACCTCAGACACTTAACACTTACTAGCAGTGTGACCCTGAGCAAGTCACTTAACCCCAATTGACTCACCAAAAATAATAATAATAATAATAATAATAATACGTAATTTAGAAAACAGCCTAATTTCACTAGTCCCAGGTATACAATTTTTTCTTCCCCTATTGATGACAGGGAAGTCTCCTATTGGGGCCATGATGCCTCTTTGTCTAAAACGCTATAAAAGTTTGAGCCCCACCATTCTGGACAGCAATTTGAAACTATGCCCAAGAGCATACCAAGACTGTGTATACTCTTTCATCCAGCAATACCACTACCAGGGCTGTATCCCAAAGAGATAAAAATTAAGAAAAAAAAAGCAAAAAGAACCTATTTTGTAGTGGCTAAGAACTGACAATTGAGGGGATGCCCATCAACTGGGGAATGGCTGAACAAGTTGTGTCATATTATTGTGATGGAATCCTACTGTGCTATGAGAAATGATGAGCTCAACGATTTTAGAAAAACATGGAAACACTTGCACAAAATAAAGAAGAACAAAATAAGCAGAACAAAGAGAACATTGTATACAGTAACAGCAATGTTGTTTTGAGAATGACTTTGAGCGAATAAGTTATTTTGTCTACTGTAAATATCCAAATTACTTATAAAGGACATATGAAGAAAGACGCTATTTGCACTCGGAGAAAGAACTGATAAATAGAAGTAATGTATAGAGTAATTTTACATATACATATATACACATATATACATACATATATATTATACATATACATATATGTGTATATATGTATACACACACACATATGTATATATATATATGTACACACACACACTTATAGCTATTTGTGTGTAATCTTTAGGACTGCCATCTCTAGGATAGGGGGAGGTGGGAGGCAAGAAAAAAAAGAAAAATATTTACATGATAATTTTGTTGTGTATTTGATAGGAATAGCAAGTTGTGCGTAGTAGATTTGCAGTTTCATGTGCAATCATCTTTTTTATTGTACTACGTTACGGAGATGCTTGTTTTATTCCATAAATTAAAAATAAAATAAATTTATTATTACTATATGTCAAAAGAAAAAGAAAAGAAAAACCTGGAAAGACTTACATGAATTGGTATAGAACGAAGTAAGCAGAACCAGAAGAACATTGTACACAGTAACAGCAATATTGTATAATGAAGAATTGTAAATGACTTAGCTATTCTCAGCAACACAGTGATCCAAGATGATCCCATTGGATTCATGATGAAAAATGCTGTCTGCCACCAGAAAAAGAACTGCTGGTGTCTGAATATAGATCAAAGCATACATTTTCTTTTCTTTCTTCCTTTTTTTTCTTTCATTTTCTTCCTTCCTCCTTCCTTCCCCTTTCTTCTTTCCTTTCCTTTCCTTTTCCTTTCTTCCTTCCTTCTTTCTTTCTAGTCCTCCCACCCCACAAAATGACTAATACGGAAATGTTCTACATGCTTACACATATATAATCTATATCAGATTGCCTACCATCTCAAGGAAGGATCAGGGGAGGAAGAGAGGAATAGAATTGGGAAATCAAAACTTAATAAAGAATGTTAAAATTGTTTTTACATTTAATGGGGGGGGGATAAAAGTTGGGTTTTTTTTAAGTTTGAGCTCCAGAGGACTTTGAGTCTTTGACCAGTGTGAAAGCCACTGCATACCTAGAAGCACACAGCAGCACTGTCTGCAAGCTTTCACATCTGGAGGCTGCCCACAATGACAAAGAACAATGGGTGCCACACACTAAGATTATTCCCTGTTGGCATCTGGTCTCCTTTTCCCCTTGTGAGTAACAATAAAGTTGTGTTATCTGCTATTCCTGTGTGGCTCTACTGCTCTTAATCTGTTCACTAAAGATATCAATGGATAAAGGTTTACCGTGGGAGGACAAAAGAATAGAGTAGGTAGAGCACTTAGAATTATAGGATTTTGAGCTGGAAGGGACCTGTATCATCTAGCCCAAGTCTTTGACAGATGGGAAAACTGAGGATTAAATAAATACAGCAATAATAAAAATAACATCTAGCACTTATAGCACTTTGAGGTTTGCAAATTTGAGGTTTACTCATTTGATCCTCATAACAACCATGGGGGGGAGGGGCTATGATTATCTTCATTTTATAAATGAGGAAACTAAGGTTGAGAGAGGTGAAGGGACTTGCCCAGGGTCGGTGTCTGAGGCATGATTCAAATTTAGGTCTTCCTGATTCTAAGTCCTACACTCTGAACCTAAGTTTCAAGGGAAACACAGCACTGATGCACGGAAAAGCTTCCAAATGAGTAGAGTTAAATAAACAGCCTTAAAAGGCAGTGAGATGCCCTCTCCACCAACTAGAAGATATTTTTTAAAAATCCTAAATAACAACCTGTCCAGAATGTCATAAAGGGTCCCCTTGTTTAGGTGCAGCAAGTTGGACTAGAGGTAGTGTGGTGACTTGGCCAGATGTCAGACTAGGAGTTAGCAAAGTCCTATCCATTAATACTTAGTAGCTGTGTGACCATGGGCAAAGTCTAGACCTAGGCTATCTAGGTCTCAGTTTCATCACCTCTCAATGTTAATATCTGCACTGTTTCACTGGGTTGCTGTGAAGTTCAATAAACTAACATATATCAAGGTCTTTGGAATAAGGCACTAAAGTAAATATCAGATAATATCATTATTATTATCTTATCTAGAAGAATTCATGTTTCAAATAGAAAATTGGGCTAGATTTACACCTTATGACACACAGTCTCCACTTTTTGCCAGAATATCTTCTTGGAAAATGGCATTCTAATCGAAACAGCAGCAGGAATAGTGTTTTCAGGTCTATACTGTAGAGCCATAGTAAAAACTGCAGCTACCCTTTTCTGCCACAAGATGGCACTCCTCTATCAGTAAGATGCCATACTAAATTTACAACTGCCCTGAAAACCCACCAATCTGATAGATCAAACTAACAAATGCGGAATACCTATGAAAAACCAGTCAGCTACTTAAAAGTTCGGCTTTTAATAAGGTGTGTTGAGACAGAAGAGAGACAAGGAGATGGGAGGGGAGGAAAGGAGAGATACAGAGCTATAGATGTAGGTATATCTATACACATATGAGACATCATATCTATTCCACTTATATTAGGTATGTTTATGGATTATGTTGTCATTTAATGACATGGACCCCTGCAACAACTCAAAAGCAACAATACAGGGTAGCTAGGTGGCACAGGGGGACCTGAGTTCAAATTCAGCATCAGACACTTAGTAGCTGTGTGACCTTGGGCAAGTCATTTGACCCCAATTGCCTAAGAAAAAAAGTACAACATAGTCCTTGGCTTATGGGCAGAAAAACACTAATCTAGAACAAACTCTTCATTTTCCTCTTAAATCCTTTCTTTACTTTCTACTCCTACCTTTCATTACCCTACTTGAGGCAGTTTTTATCCCTCACTTAGACAACAATAATAGCTAGTCTTACAACCTCCAGCTGGCTTTAAGAGCCAAACAGCGGAATTTATATTTGATTCTAAAATTGACAGGGAGTCAGTCATATCACCATATGATTTTTAAAAATCCTAGGGGGGCAGCGAGGTGGCACAGTGGATAGAGCACCGGCCCTGAATTCAGGAAGACCTGAGCTGAAATCCGGCCTCAGACACATAACACTTACTAGCTGTGTGGCCCTGGGCAAGTCACTTAACCCCATTGCCTAGCCAAAAACAACAACAACAATCACAACCACAACAAAACAAAAGCAAAAACAAAAATCCTAGGAACTGAAGATCTTATGTTCTGTATTTTGTTAAATGGAAATAACTTTCTGTAGATATAACTATAAATATATTATTTCTGAGATTAGAAAATATGAGTGCTGATTTCATCAGATTCTACTTTACCCTGCACATAGCTCTGATCATGGCCACTCAGATGGCTACTTTGTTGGCTCTGTATTGCATACCAAGTAAGAGTCCAAGCTCCTTACCTTGGTAGTCAATGTTCTTTTAAACAATTAGACACCAATTTTCCTGCCCAGGCTTATCTCACATTGCCCCCATTCACAAAAGGGTGTGTTCCCTCCAAGCCAAACTTCTTCCTATTCCCCAAACTAATTGTGGTCTTTTCCACCTCATATACTTTTCCCATAAAACTGCCTCATAATCTCTGGCTCTTGAAATCTTTTCCATCCTTTCAAGGCCCAGCTACGCTATGCCACCTCCTACACGAAGCATTCCTGATTCTTTGCCAGTCAAAAATTTCTTTCTGCTTCTCTAATACTTTGTTTATATCACTCCTGACCATTTATTATATGTTAATTTGTCTCAGTGTTATTTACCTACTTCTATTATTTACCCCACTATATCTTGACTTCCTCCATGGTTAAATAGCAACAATAAAATAATTCATAATTTATAATAAGAATAATAGCTAACAGTTATAAAATGCCTAAAGGTTTACAAAGTGTTTTAGATATATTATATCATTTCATCCATGACTATGGACTAGATGATCGATACCATTCTCTGGTACTATGGCTTAGTTCAGATATTTTCATCCAAATGAGAACATGCAGATGCTGAGGAGAAAACATTTCAAGTAATCAGTCTGTCAATTAGCATTTATTAAGCATCTACCATGTGCCAAGTGCTGAGATTAGAAAGGCAAAAATGAGACCATCTTTGCCCTCAAAGAGCTGGTTTCCATTGTATCTATGGAAACATAAACACTAAGAAACAAAGCCTGGATCTAAGAGAATAAGTTCTGAGCGTGCCAGACTGCATTCTATTTAAATAATAGTAATCACAATGAATAGATCTGCTGAGTCCTCAGAGATTGGGATGATGCTGCCTTGGTGTGAATACCATCTTTCCCCCTTTATGCTTCTTATGCCCAGAGACGGGGAGGAGGAGGTGCATATACAGATTAAAAAGGATAGAAGGTAAAGGGAGAGGGTAGCTGTAGCAACTGGAGATATCAGAAAAGGCTTTAGTCCCTTCAGCTGGAACTAGAAGGGAGCTAAGGCTCTAAGAGGGGGAAGTAGGGTAGGAGGGCATTTTAAGGTGGGTGACACCTTGAAGGATCAGAGAGAAGAGAGGGAGTGTCATGTATTAGGAACAGTAAAGATGTTTCACTTGGCGAATCCATGAGTTTATCAAGGTGAGTAATGTGTAATAAAGCTTGAAAGATAGTCTGGAGCCAGGTAGTAAAGGGGTTTAAGAGTCAAACTGAAAAGTTTATATCTGATTCTAGAGTTGATAAGGGGCCATATCACCTCATGATCAAATGGCTCAAGAATTGCAAAGCTTGTGTAACGGTTTATTAAACTGGAAGTACTTCATAAGGATATAACTATAAACACAGTTTTCTGTGATTAGAAAATGCGGGGGTCCGTGTCACCTGCACTAGCCCAACAGAACCCCATTAGGCAGAAAGGGAAGGTGTAGTCATCTCTGTCTCTCCAGCCTAGGAGGCCAGACTCCTGTTGCTCAACAACTCAGCCTATCTTCTGATCATTTTTGCTCATGTCCTATCCCAGACTGATCTGGTACTGTTTGTTATTCTCACTTTTGCTTCTGTCCTCATCTAATTCATTTATCACAGCTCTTAAATCTGGATCAGCCCACCTGATTTTTGATGGACAAATTTATCCCACCTCTTAGACATACAGAGGAAAGAACACTGGATTTGAAGTCCTAGGACCCGGGTTCAAATCCTGTATTTAATCCTTGGGATCAGGGCAGCTAGGTGGTGCAGTGGATAGAGCCACAGCCCTGGAGCCCTGAGTTCAAATCTAGACTCAGACACCTGACACTTACTAGCTGTGTGACCTTGGGCAAGTCACTTAACCCCATTGCCTAGTAAAAATCAAACAAGCAAACAAAAAATCCTTGGGATCATACATTTAGAGTTGGTCATTTAGATGACCTTAGAGGTCATCCAAGATGAGAAAACTGAGGTCCAGGGAGGGGCAGCAACTTGCCCAAGGGTTGCAGAGGTAGTAAAAGGTGAAACTGGGATTCAAATCGAAACCCCTTGGCTCTAAAACTTGTCTTACCACTGCACCAAGTTGCTAGCAGTTCCTTTGTGATGTCTGAACAAGCCAGTGCACTTCTCTGGGATTCAGTTACTTCACTATAAAATGGGGGGAGAAAGGAAACTAGATGATCTGCAAGGGTCCTTCCAGCTCTAAATTTATAATATAGTTTATCCTCTGGTTGAGAATTTGCTTTGTACCTCTACCAGGCATCTTCCCTAAGCTATTGAGCCTAATTGCAAGGCTCCTTTGCATTGCAAGACGTTTTTCTACTTGTCAATTTTCATCCCCAAGCCTAAGTGTTTACACCACCTGCCAGCTAAACATCTGGTGCAATTAAATTAGTTGAGAACTGAGGCTGTTGAGGACTTTCTTGGAGAAGTCGATGTGGAACAGTCAAAAAAAACCCACTGCTCCCAAGAGTGGATTTCATGACACTTATGACTTGTGTGATCCAGTTCTGATCACTTCTGAACCTCAGTTTCCTCATCTATTAAATGGGGATAATAAGTACTTGACTACCAGCCTCACCATCAGTGTAAAGAAAGAACTCTGCAAACCGGGCACTAAACATGTGATTTTTATCCTGAAAAAATTGTTCTATGTAAAGCCAAAATCACAGTTGCAGACTTTTAACCAGAAGGCATCTCATTTTATAGGGGAGAAATAAAAGATTAGATGACTTGAACAAGGCCTCCCCCAAAGTCCCCTCAGGGACTGGTCTGCCTAATGCCTCATTCCTGGTTCTGTTGCTGAAATGCCAGAAATGTTTCTGGAGTTGTGCATGTAATTATTAACTTGTGCTCAGTCCTCATGCCCAGAAAGGAGGATCTTGAACTGGTTTTGCTTGAGCCTACCTGGGACAATGCACTCCTTCTGAGGAGGGCTTTGTTTTCTTATTGGGTCAGAGAGGGTTAAATGACAAGATTAACCCTATGCTTATCAGAATGGGACCCAGCAAGCTTTGTCCTTTACTTTGCTTTGTTACTTTTCCTCTCCTTAATTATCTATTAAATAAAATCTTGTTGTTAACCCTATTATATTTCACACTTGGATTAAAGAAAGTGTTTTTACCTTAGCCTAAGGCAGGAGTGCTTAACCTGGGTTCCTAGAACTTGTTTTTGACAAGTTTATTTCAACATAAATGATTACATTATTTTATTACAAATATATTATTATATTACCCCCCAAAAAAAACACTATGTGATGTTTTTATGCATTTAAAAACACAATTCTGAGAAGGGGACCTTAGGCTTCAGCAGACTTGTCAAAGGAGTCCATGACACAGAAAAGGTCAAAAACCCTTGGGTTAAGGCAGCAGAGCTGGAGAAACAGGAGTACCCCAAAGCCAGGTTGGGGATGGATGGCAGAGAGAACCGAAGGGCCAGCACTAAGATATGGGATACCAAGCCAGGAGGGAGAGTAAATGTATAAAAAATACAGAGAATTACAAATGTAATCAATTTGTTGTTATATACTCCCTTTCTCTTCCTCCCTTGAGAGAGAGAGAGAGAGAGGTTTATATATAGACATAGATATATAGATACCTATAACTATGTATGTATCTATCTATCTATCTATCTATCTATCTATCTATCTATCTATCTATCTATCTACCTATCTATCTATCTATCTGGAAAGGGACGGAAGGAGAGAGATTCCCTATATCACCTAGACACACTTGCAACAGATGGGTAATTTTTGGTCCAAAGAATGACTGTTTTAAGTACGCATCTAGGGGGTAAAAGTCTCCATTTGGTAGCATTTTTAACTTGTCTTAATACATATTTCTTGAATCAACTGAATTGCAATTAAAAAAAAGGAATGTAATTAGAGTTTTAAATTTTTGTAAGTAACAAGAGAAGGCTAACTACCTTTAAGACCTTGGGTAAATCATTTACATTCCTTGGACCTCAGTTTCCCCAGCTGTAAAATGAGTAGATTGGACTAGACGGGCTCTGAAGTTCCTTCCAGCTCTAGATCTGTTTTCCTAAACTGAATAAAATCAGCCTTTTGACTCTATCACCTTTGTTAATATATTGGCACTCAAATACTCAAATGGATCTGTGATCTCAAAAACGAGGATATTTTCTCCAGCCAGTCAGCTGCAACCCATCAGTGCTCACCCCATTCTGGGTGATTCTCGTCCACTAGTGGTTAAAGAAGCACAAAACTCTGCTCTTCATTCTGGAAACAGGTTTCTGCCCCCAGCCCACCTTTACAAAGCCTTAGTAAAATAACACCCTTGTGACATTAGATTAGACAACTCCCCTAGGAGGTTACAAAGACACAGAATGGACATACCTCTTAACAAGTGAAGCATGGCGTGAGCTAAGGAGCCTTACTTACATCAGCAGACAAACAAGAATGAAGACATTCAGTTAGGAAATCATTTACCCAAATCACTTGGAAATAAGTGGTCTAATCAATTACTGCAAAGAAAAGGAAAGCAAAGGAAAGAGGGTTTAGGGCAGTGTGTTCTGCTCCTTTTCTGTAGTGTTCATGAAGCTGTCGCTGGAACTCTTCGCATGCCTAAATATGGGTCGCCTCCTCTCCCTCCTCTCCAGGTGGGGCCACCAGCCACGGGTAGGAGGCTCAGGTAAAAACCAGGGGGTGAGGGAGTTAAAGACTTTGCACAGGGCATTCAGCCTTTAACCTGCACTCCCTTCTGATGTCTACCCTAGGTCCCCTCTAAAGCAAACCAACCTCAACATCTAACTTTGCCCCAAGATTCCAGTTAGTTGCATTAACCCCTTTCAATTTCTCTTAGTCTAAATATTGGATCAGGAAATCAAGGCTCTAGAGGCTGGCAAGGACCTCAGAAGCCATCTAGAGAAGCCTTCCTTTTTTTAACAGATGAGGAAACTGAGGGCCAAAGAGGTTAAATAATTAGCCCAAGGTCAGAAGGTATCAGCAGCAGAACCCAGAACCTCTGACTCTAGAGCACCAGGTTTTTCTACTGTCTTGCTTAGCTCTCACATAAGCCTTTAGTAAATTGTTATAATAAGGTGCTGCCCACCCCCAATTCCTAAATCAGACTTTAGCAAAGGTAGAAGTTTTAGGGCAGCTAGGTGGCACAGTGTATTGATAGAGTACCAGGTCTGGAGTCTGGAAGACTCTTCATCCTGAGTTCAAATCCAGCCTCAGACACTTACTAGTTGTGTGACCCTGGGCAAAGCGCTTAACCCTGCTTGCCTCAGTTTCCTCATCTTTAAAATAAGCTGGAGAAAGCACTCCAGTATCTTTGTCAAGAAAAACCCAATTGGGCCCAAGAAATGTAGCACACAACAAACTGAAAATGGCTGACAATTGTAAGGCAGATTACAGAGGCAACTGAGTGGCAAAATGGATAGAGCACTGGACCTGAAGTCAGGAAGACCAGAGTTCAAATATAGCCTCAGACACTTAGTAGCTGTGTGACTTAGTAGCAAGTCAGTCAGCCTCAGTTTTCTCATCTGTAAAATGGAGATGATGACAGTACCTTCCTCCTAGGATAATTGTGAGGTCCAAATGAGATAATTGTAAAGTGCTTAGCACAGTGCCGGGCACATAGTGAGAGATAAACATTCCACACTTAGGAAGGGGCCTAGGCTAGAAAGGCTCAGTGGCATATGAAAAAGCCCTTCTGAGGAGGAGAGCCAGCTGAGCAATTTGTCAGTCAACTAATACCACACCAGTCCAGAGAAAGTGATGACATGAAGACCCTAGGGAGCTTGAGTTTTGAGTTGCATTAGCCATGTGTGTTCCTTCCCTACCTCATTAACATTGTACTTTTAAGTTTGTGCCCACTCCCTCCTACCCACCCAATGGACTCTGTGTGTAGTGGTGGGAGGGTGCACCCCTGATTATGAGGGAAATGCTTTTAACTACTGTTCTTGCTAGGCATTTGTGTAAATGTCTTTGTCCAAAGAATACTTGGTCTCCTGGCTGATTTTTAAGAAGCAGCATGGCAATGGGGGGAATCACAAGATATCATTAGGATAGCAACCCTCAGGATTATCTCCTAGAATCCTGAACATCATAGAGACCCAATCTGCCAGCGTGAGTTGAAGGAATGAGCCCAGAGAGTATGTCACATTATAATTTTGTTACTTTTTTTCCTTTTTAATGTATTTAAGGTTAATTTTTAATAATAATTGCTGCTAGCATCTACATAGTGCTTTAAGGTTTGCAAAGTGCTTTACAAATATCTCATTTCATCCTCACAACAACCCTGGGAGGTAGGTGCTATTATTAACCCCATTTTACAGAAACCCCATTTTACAGATGAGGAAACTTCAGATGAGAGGGGTTAAATGACTTGCCCAGGGTCACATATCTATTAAGGGTAAGGCTAGATTTGAACTCAGGTCTTCCTGGCTCCAGGTCCAGTGCTCTATCCACTCTGCCAGCTAGCTACTTAAATAGACTAGAGAAGTTCTGTGCTCATCATTTCCAAACAACCAAGCCTGGTAGCTCACCCTACCAAGTTGGGTCAATGTACAATTGAACAGTCCATCTATTGTCTGTCATCCTTGCTATGTGATCTACTCATGACTCTTCATGTGAAAAACTGCCTCCAGTAAATGGGTACCCTTCTGCTAAGCTCTTCATCAGCAATATAAGCAGACCAGAAAAATCTGCCCATTAATTTTCTTTGCACTGGGTGATCACAAGCTTCTTCTCATCATTTGCCACTCCAGACCAACATGACAACACGTGGATTATTTTGGACCATACTGAAGATGAACATTTCTGCCCTGTTTTCCACAGGTAATTAAATCAGGTTAGGTCAGACCGATGAAACAATTACAGGGAAAAAATGCTAACCAATATGGTACCAAGTGCTAGAGAGTTCAACTAAGAGAGATCAGTGTGGGACAGAGTTGTGAAGCCTCAAAGAATAAGATTTAAATAAATGAATGAGAGAAGAAAGACCCTTCTAAGCCAGTATGGGGGGCAGGCCAGTGAAAGACAGCCAACATGAATAAAGGCATAGGAAAAAATGAGACATGCTTAGGAAACATTAAAGTAGCCCTTACTGCCCAGGGGAGAAGTTACATTTGAGGCAGTGGTGGGAAATAATGTTGAATAGATTGAGGTAAGGCCATATCGTAAGAAGCCTTGAAAGTCAGAGAGGTTTGATCTTTATGCATTGAGCAATGATGAAAGTCAGGTTACAGGGAAGATTAACCTGGTAACGTGCAGAATGGTTTGGAGAGAAAAAACTGGACTCAGTGAGATCAGCCAGGTATTAGGGCCTTGATTAAAATGGTAGCAGAAAGGGGCAGCTGGGTGGCACAGTGGATAGAGCTCTGGCCTTGGAGTCAAGAGGACATAAGTTTAAATCCAGTCTCAGACACTTGACACTTATTAGCTGTGTGACCCTGGGCAAGTCACTTAACCCTGATTGCCTCACCAAAAATAATAATAATAATAAAATAAAATGGTAGAGGGAGGGAAGATTCAAATGGTGCCTTGAAGGAATTTTTTTAAAAAGATAGAAAGAATGAAGGACAGAATCAAAAATGCTCCGAGGTATTTAGCCTGGGGCCAGTAGATACAGTGGACAGAGCAATGGGCCTGGAGTCAGGAAACCTTAGATTCAAATCCAGCCTCAGATACTTACTAGCTATGTGACCCTGATCAAGTCACTTAACCTCTGTTTGCCTCAGTTTCCCAATCTGTAAAATGAAGATAAATCATAGCACCTACTTCCCAGGGTTGTTGTAAGGATCAAATGAGATAATAATTACAAAGCGCTTAGCACAGGCCTGGCATTGTAGTAAGCACTATATAAACGCTATTATTATTATTATCATTATTGAAGAATGGTAATGTCCCATACTTGGGAATTCAGAGGTATTTATCAGGTTATAAGTGCTGTCATATGGGGGACAAAAAAGGAAATGTAATCTTAGGCGGAATGAAAAGAAATATACTGGCCAATATAAAGGAGGGGATGATATGATGTTTCTGTTGTACTCATCTATAGTTAGACCATCCATAGGGCATTGTGTTCTGGGTACCACATTTAGGGAAGAACATTACTAAACTAATAAGAGTTAAGAAGATGGAGGCCATGATGGTGAAGCTCCTTGAATTCAAACTACAAAATGATGGATTAAGGCAATGGGATATTTAGCCTGGAGAAAAGGAAAAAAAAAAAAGGATGACAGGATGACATGATTGCTGTCATCAAGTATTGAAAGGCTGTCTTGATGAAGTGAGATTAGACTTCTCTTAGTCCCTGGAGGCAAGAACTAGGAAGAATTCTGAAACTAACTTTTTTTAAGTTATTTTTTATTTGTATGAGGCAAGAGATTGGGAGTGAATGGACTGGGAGTCCTAAATTCTCCCTAAAGTTCTGAAGTTCTGCCTAAGGAATTGGAAGTCTACTAGGGTAGAGTATAAGATCTCCACTTTTTTTTTAACGCTAAGGAAGTTCTAGGGAAGGGGGACAGGTAAGACCATACATACCATTAAGTGGTAAAGGAAGAGGACTCTGAAATACACTAGAGTTTCTATGATTTTAAAGGGAGAAACAGAACTAGAATGTTTACCACTGCTTCAGTGATTAGCCAGGAAGGAATATGCCCTGGGAAATTCTGTCAGTGTCTTTTAAATTTCATCCCCTTGAAATAATGAATTGATGCTCACTCTACTTCAGCTCTCTGACAAAATACAATTGGTGGAAGTTATAGAAAGCCGGATGGGGTTCAATGTAAGGAAAATGCCCTAATAGTTGGCCACTTGTTAGTAGAATAGGCTGCATCAGTTTGGGATTAGATTTTCCATTTCCATTGGAAGTCTTAGAAGAAATACTGGATGACCACTTTGGGAGTATATTGTAGTTGGCATTCTTATCAACACATGATTGGATTAATTCGTTGACTTTATTCAATTCCTACTCTGTGAAGAGTGCTTTAAATATCATAACAATGAGAAGAGGTTGTCTAACTATCATGAGAAATAAAATGAATTATTAATTCTGAAATTCTCTTCTTCTATAAATGTATTATGCTAATTTGTCATGATACTTTGTCTAGCTAGTTGCCAGCTAGAATGCATCAAGGTGTATTGGACAAAGAATTGTCTTATTATCCAAGAAGACCTGGGTTTAAGACCACCCTAACTTATAGGTTGTGTCATCCTGGTTAAGTTATTTACTCTTGAGAGTAGTAATGTTTTATGACTTTATGTTGCATAAACATTGACCTACATAGAGGGAGTTTCATATATCAATAAAATAATAGATCCAGTCTCTATCATAGATTGTAAACTTTTTTGCAGTAGGTACTAACATTTTTCTTCCTTATATCTTCCATAGCCTTTATAGGAAGAAAGGTCTTGTAGTAAGAAGACATAAATGCTGATCTCTACTCTGATACTTACCTGACGTTAAAGCCTGTACAAGCAAGTCATTTAACTTTTCTAACCCTCAGTTTCCTCATTTTTAAATTGGGAGTAATGACACTTGAGGAATGGGTAAGTAGCAAGTGCTTGCAGCTTGGGGAGGGCCTGTGCATATTCCCAGCAGAAAGCTGTTGACAAAGCCTGAACTGGAATTCTAGAACTGAGAGTGGTGATAAAATAAAGGTCAGCTCAAGATAGAATCAGTACTGCAAGAAGGCAGCATAGTGTATATATAGTAGGGAAAGGGCAGCTATGCAGCACAGGGGATAGAGTGCTGGGTCTAGAGTCAGGAAGACTCATCTTCCTGAGTTCAAATTTGGCCTCTCAGACATTTACTAGCTGTGTGACCCTGAGCAAGCCCCTTAACCCTGTTTGTCTCAGTTTCCTCATCTGTATAATGAGCTGAAGAAGGAAATGGCAAACCATTCCAGTATCTACAAGGTACTTTGGAGGACATCCAATCCAACCACTTCATTTCAATTAATCAATAAGCATTTATTAAGTGCCTACTATGTGCCAGGCATTATGCTAAGAACTGAGGATACAAAAAGAGGCAAAAGATACTCCTTGATCTCATGGTTGTAGATAAGGAAACTGAAGCCCAGAAGGGTTTAAGTCATTTGTTCAAGGTCACACAAGGAAGTAAATGGCAGATTTAAACTCAAGTAACCTTGACTCTAACCTCATAGGAAAATAATCTTGACTCTAACCTCTTTCCACGCAGTCTTTGGTTTGCCATTTCCTTCTCCAGCTCATTCTACAGATGAGGAAACTGAGGCAAACAGGGTGAAATGACTTGCCTAGAGTCACATAGCTAGTAAGGGTCTGAGGCTGGATTTGAACTCATGAAGATGAGTCTTCCTGACTTCAGGCCCAGCACTATATCCACTATGTCTCCAGCTGCCCACTATACTCTAAATCCTTTGAAGCCAGAAGGTCAGCTAGAACAGAAAGAGTAGAAATGTCCAATCTATAAAATGATCAGATAGTCAAGAGGATGGAAAATCAGGAATCATATCACACATAGAGAGGATACAAAGAGCCAAGAGTGGGCGAGGAATATTCAGATAAAAGAGTTTAAGTTTGTCATTTAAAAAATAAGAAGAAAAACCTTTGCAGCACACAACACTTTCTTCAATGAGTCAGTGAGGGCTGACCACATCCTCTCTGGCTTCTTCAAGTCAGCATCCAGACAGGTGGTGCCATCAACAGAAACCCAGTAATTGGAAAGCTAGTGTTGTTTTTTGGGAGGTGGGGACATTGGGGGGTTGGGATAACAGGTGGGCAGAGAAAGGGGTGAGTTCAGCTTAAAATGACAGTGAGATATACAAGGCCAGATAGACTGTAAACAGAACTGTGGAATGACAGGACAGGTTAAAAAAAATCAGGGCCAAGTATGTGTGGGGACACGTACACAGAAGTGACAACTGAGGCTGGCTACTACATATTCCCAAAGTTATATTCTACCTGTGAAAGAAAGAAATATTTCAAGAACATTCTCAAGAAGATACAAACCAACCAGGCTGAAGGTCTGCTATTACCATGGAGAATTCCCATAGTGATCCTGACTGATTTAGGTCTTGGTCTATTTCCACAATACACAGATAGTCAATACTAGTGGGAGCTCCCTAGAGACCCTCACTTTTCTAGGATACACATAGACATTATTTATTCCTGGTGGTTCAGATCCAAGGAACAGAATCCACAGACAACTGCTATGCAATGCACACAAAAGGCAATAAAGAGAGAGAAGACCCAAGCATCATTGTGACTGCAAAAGTCCAACTTAGTTCTTCTTAGACTTGGCCCCAATAGCTTATTCCTGAAAAGCAGCCCAATGATGCTTCAAATCATTGCGTCTCAGTAAAATCATGGGGTTTCCCTAACAACATCCAGTGGCAGTAAGATTCTGCTGTCAACTTTTATGTAATTACTAAAAATCACTGCCCCTGGGCTGTATTTGCAAGCAGCTAACCCCAGGCTATTTATTGGCTGGCATTTCACTTTGCACCAGCATGCTTACTTCCTGTGCTAATTGCTCTAACACTGACAGCTGAGTAAGCTTATTTACCCCAGCCTTCATGTGGCCATGTATGCCTACATTCTTGACCACAGAAACCACAGCAGTGGCTGTATCCACTAAGGAAAGAACAAATGTCTGAAAAAAAAGCAAGACAACTTTAATAGGTTACCTTTAGTTACCAGACAAACACTTTGGTTTTTGAATAGGAAAAGAGACTAATCCTTTGGCCTTTGCTTATGAAAAGGCACTAACTGGAGGAAGTGGCCTGGCTTCCATGGACCAGTGAATGGTTCTTCTTGTTGGATAACAGATGCTTGCTCTAGACCAGAGGTTCCCAATCTTTTTCAGTCTCCATACCCAATGGCTTTCAATAATCTTTCTCATGCCTCCTTTTTGGAGGATACTAACCAGACATATGAATTCACTTGAATAGGAAACCTCTAGGTAAAGATAAAAGATATTCCTTCTACCAATACAGGTTGGCACCTCTAGTCTTTCAGAGTTGCCTGGAACAGTAGTGTCAAAGTCAAATAGAAATAGAGGTGGCTAATCCATGCATTAGAATCCCTCCAGGGGTCTTATTGATTTAGCTTTAATCTGATCAAGCAGTGGGGCAGTGTTAAAGACTTGGCATATTAGCCTAGCCTAGATCACTGAGAGGTTAAGTGACTTCTTTTACCCAGAGGGATTTGAACTCAGGGCTTCCTGAAGGCCAGCTCTTTATTCACTCAATTGCTCTTCCTCTCTAAATATTTCCTATAATATTCTGCATTGTCACCTCCCTTACAAAATTTTTAGCTGCCTTACTATGTGCCTACACTAAGACCTTCAACTACGTTACAGATGTGCTGTGATCTACGTTGATAAAGAATTTTACATTAATGAAATTGCAGATCCTTCACCACTGGCATAGACCCTTGCATAAGTAGATCCTTATAAGGATATTATCCCTGACTGTTGCTGTATACTTCAGGTAGAATCCCCACTTCTCTGAATAGATTTACGATCTGCCCCAGCATTTGACCTCTAACATTCCTATAAAACAAGAGTTTGGGATTCTTAGCCAGTTGCATATTTTAATAGCTCCATTGTTTTTTCCGTGCACATAAAAACAAGGACATTATTAGATGGCTTATTCAAAGACCCTTTCCCCTGCTAAGAGCAGAGTCAGGCAGAATGGGGGAGCTAGCTAGGAAGAAGCTAATACATAAGTTATGAACTGTGCCTGTTAAAGAAAGGGCTGAGCCTGGATTAGAACAGGGTTTGAAGTATCAAAGAAGTTTGGCACCACCCCTATATCTTCCCACCTCCAAATCTTTGTTCATGCAGTTCTTGACGCCTGAAACTCTCCCTTTCCTGTCACACAACCTACCCATCCTTTAAGACCCAGCTCAAAAACCATCTGATCTGTGAAATTTTCCCTGATTCCCCCAACTGGAAAGATCTCTTTATCATCTGATTTCAAAGCACTTGGTACTCTCCTTAAACTTATACACTTATAAATTCTAATTTATCTCATATTTATCCACATATGTGTCTCATTACCCCTATTTGATTGTAAGCTCTGTGAGGACAACACTTAACATGTTGCCTTGCACACAGTAGATGCAGGAAAAAAATGTTTGATGAATAAATGAATTTTAATTCTTTGTCTAGTACAATTAATGATGTACAGATTGGTATACCTCTGTTACCGTTTCTACTAAGGTTAAGAGAAATTAATTGGTTCTCCTCATGCAAAAGTCTCTGGTATAACCAGGAGTCTAAGAAGCACCTAAAAATGTGCCCAACTATACAAGACAGATTTTTGTAGCCAGAATAGTCCAAGCAGATAGAAACACCACATTTAAAAAGCTCAAACATTTTGTACACAATAGGCTCCCATTGGTATAGGGAGACAGAGAACAAATTCCAGTTAAATTAAATAACTCTGATATGCCACACACCTAAAGATCATAGGATCACAAATTAGATCTAGAAGGAAATTTACAAGTCATTGAGCCCAACCCTTCCATCTTACATGAGGAAACTGAGGCACAGAGACATTAAATGATTTGTCTAGGGTCCCACATGTCTGAGGTAAGATTTGAACACAAGTCTTCATGACTACAAGTCTAGCTCTCTATTCACTACATTACCTAGCTGTCCATCAATAGATGAAGAACATAATGGTATTTCTTCCCAAGCTACTACTGAAACCAGAAGTCTGGCTGCTGCATTTGATAGCCCAAACACTGCTTCAATGTGAGACATAAGACAAGGGGGATAGGAGATTCCATCAGAAATAGTACCATTTAGTCTAGGGCTTCTTAAATTTTTTCCATTCAGGACCCCTTTTCTCTGCAGCAGTTCACTGGTGTTCTGTGGCCTGAGGGCATGTGCATTGCAAAGTGGGCATGCTTTGTGTTCAGAACCAAGGCTGCAATGAAGTTGCATGATGCAACACAGGCAAGTGCTGCTAGAAACACATTTAAGTGTTTAATTAAATTAATTAATTAATTAATTAAATTTTGGGCCTTGCCCATTCAGAAACCTTTTAGTGTTGCCAAATTTTTTTCACGACCCACAGCTTAAGATGCACTGATTTTTAGTCCATTTTTCAAACTTCAGCATTCTCTTTCTGGTCTATCTAAGATAGGTAGCCTACTATAGAGTAAAGAACATTGGAGGACCTCAGCTCTAATTCCCAGTTCTGCTGATCATAAGCTGTATGACAGTTTCCAAGTAGACTTTTTTTTTTAAAAAAAAGGCTGAATCTCCCTATTTCTCTGGGGCTGGAAGCAAAAGGGCTATGCACAGGCCGGATCTCATGACACAGGAACTCTGACCTGTTCAGTTTCTGACATGGGCAGATTTGTTCCTCCTTAGGGAAGCCTGGTAGCCCCCATTCCTGAGCTTAATATGGACACCCAGCTTAGTTCGCTATTAAGTGCAAAACTCCCAAGTTCAAGAGATCCACCAATCTCAGTCGCTATGGATGCTGCCACTCAGATGCCAAGGAAAACTATTGCAAGCAAGGGCATCCCTGTCGGAGAATCTGTTATTAAAAGTTAATTGGCAACTAAAGTTGTGAATACTTAAAAGGGAGGAGTAGAGACTATCTTAGAGAGTATATTTCCTAGGTCTCTGGTTCTGAGTTGCCTTATATAGGAAATAAGTTCAGATTACCTCTCTGGTCCCTCCTAACTCCAAATGGCTATCATTCATATTAATCTTGTCCTTACCTCAATATGTCAACAATCCATGGTTTTGGTGGCTATATAGATACTCCTTCTACCAAAGTAAGACCTGGTAAACAGAGTTGCAATGGCCAAAAAAATCCTTTACACTGTAGAAAACCTGGTGATGACCCTCTCCAAATTGAGCTAGGTTGCCCCTCAGATAACAGGCATATGAGTCTGTCACCTGACCCCTCCTGGAAGCCTTTCCAGGTTGGTAGGCCCTACCAGTCACTGAACTCTGCTCTGAGACCTAGCCTTTAAGAATCCACCAGGGTTCCCTCTATTCTCACATGACATATCAGAGAAGTCTTTAGCAGAAGATCCAAGGATCAAAGAGATGGAAAAGACCTTAGGTGTTGATCATCTAGTCCAATCTCTTTATTTTACAGATGAGGCAACTGAGATCTGCAGAAATGAAGTGATTCATTCAAGGTCAAACAGGTTACCAAGGGAGCAGAGTCTGGACTCAAATCCCAATCCTCTGACCCCAAATTGGCACTCCTTTCATTGTACCTCACTACTAATTATCTTGTCCTAATAGTCCCCATATAATGGCATGTAGAGTACTGGATTTGAAGTTAGAGGTCAGGGAGTCATTCTGAATTCTGCTGTTTATGTCAATTAGGCATAACCTTGAACAAGTCAAAGTCTCTAGGATTCAGTTTCTTCAGATGAAATGCTGTAGAATGGAAAGTACCCGGGATGGGAGTCAAAATACCTGGGTTAAAAGTTCACGCATGCTACTTACTGTCTGGGTAATCTTGGGCAATTCAATCCGACTAGCATTTAAGAGCCTACAATGTATCATAGTTGCCTATCTCTAAAGCTGGAAGGGACTAGAAACCATCTAGTACAGAGAAAACTGAGGCTCAAGGTAGGGTAAGTGACTTGTCGAAAGGCACACAGGAAATCAGAGGAAATCAGCATCAGAGGTAGTACTTGAACCCAGGTCCTCTCCTTTCAGGGACTAGGGATACATTGTCAAAAATAAAACAGCCTTTGCCCTACATGACCTTACATCCCACTGGCATGTTACTACATCTTTGTGCCTCAACTTCCTCATCTGTAAAAATAGAGCATTGGACTCGGTCCCCTTTAAGTTGCTTTTCCAGCATTGAATCTATGTATGTACCTATGAACCTACTGGGCACGTTTCTTTCAGGGTCTAAATTTTCTGTGTGAATAAATACACCACTGAACATCACACAAGCAAAGTGATATGACAGATATGAAAGAAGTGAAATGCTTTCCAACAAAATTCCCCACCTGGGCAGTGGACAGGTGGTGCCCGTGACAACTATGACCTTTGACCACTTCTGAAACCAACTTTGCTATTGTGGAATCCCCAGACAGATACACAGACACAGACACAGACAGACCCACAGACGGACAGACACAAATGAATACACAGACACACACAGATAAGCAGACCGACAGAAACACAGATACACAGACCCACACACAGACCCAAAGACATGCAGACATACACACATAGACTCACAGACACCCAGACATCACACACACACACACACACACACACATACACGGGTGAGCACTGCAGACACCCTGCACACAACGCAGGTCCCCTTAGATGGAGCACAGAACCAGTTGGCCCCTCTCATCCTCCACGGAGCAGCGGATGGAAAGGCAAAACATGCGGACCGGGCTGCGCTGCTGCGCTCGGGCGCCTGGGCGCCGGGGTCCCAGGCACGGACGTTGAGCGCCCTGGCCCGGCCCCTGGCTGGGCTCACCTCGCCGCCTGCATGAGTGGGCTCCAGCCGTAGTGGTTGCGGCTGTTGACCGAGGCCCCCTTCCGCAGCAGGAACCTCACAAGCGGCTCGTAGCCGCCGGCCGCGGCGAACTGCAACGCCGTGTTGCCGGCTTCGTCTGTGCAGTCCACGGGCACCGGCCCCAGCAGCACCGCCGCCTGCCCAGCGCCCCCCTCCTCGTCCGGGACGCCGCGCTCGGCCGGCTCCGTTGCCGCCGCCCCGGGCTCCAGCAGCCGTCTCGCAGTCTCCGTGTCGCCTTGATCGCAGGCGCGCAGTAGGAGCTGGAAGGCTGGGGGGATCCCGCCCTCGCCCATCGGGACCATCGGCCTCGGAAGGGCCCGGACCTCCGCGCCTCCTGCGCCCCCTGGCTCCTGGAGCCCCGACTCCGCCCCCCGGATACCAAGCAGGACTCGCCCTTCCTCCTCCTCCTCCTCTTGTCCTTACTGGAGCAGGCTCCCAGCCCTGGCCCAGCCTCCTGGCCTCCCCGCTTACAGGCTCTCCCCCTTTCCCCCCCAAGCCTTGGATCCTCATTTGCCCATTCCTCTGTCCTTCCTCACCCCTTCTCCGGACCTGCAGTGGGCTGGTCGTGTTTCAGGAGTGGAAGTTGTTAGACTCACAAAAAAAGATTTCCTGCGATCCCTTCGCTGTATAGAGAGAGTTATCCTTTTAAATAAAATTATTTTTTCAACTAACAAGCATTTATGCTTCCTACCACATACTCTCCACTGGGGGAAAAGAGAGAAAGGAAGAAAGAAAGAAAGAAAGAAAGAAAGAAAGAAAGAAAGAAAGAAAGAAAGAAAGAAAGAAAGAAAGAAAGAAAGAAAGAAAGAAAGAAAGAAAGAAAGAAAGAAAGAAAGAAGGAAAGAAAGAAAGAAGGAAGAAAGAAGAAAGAAAGAAAGAAGAAAAAAGAAAGAAAGAAAGAAAGAAAGAAAGAAAGAAAGAAGAAAGAAGGAGGAAAGAAAGAAGGAAAGAAAAAGGAGAAAGAAAGAAAGAAAGAAAGAAAGAAAGAAGAAAGAAAGAAAGAAAGAAGAAAGAAAGAAAGAAAGAAAAAAGAAGAAAGAAAGAAAGAAAGAAAGAAAGAAAGAAGGGAGGGAGGGAGGGAGGGAGGGAGGGAGGAAGGAAGGAAGGAAGGAAGGAAGGAAGGAAGGAAGGAAGGAAGGAAGGAAAAAATAACAAATATTCATAGTCAAGGAAAAAAATTCCACGTTGGCCAGTTATAAAAATAGATGCAAATAAAGTTATTCTGATACCCCATGATCAGGTATGGTTACTCTGATGTCTCTGACCCTCAATTTCCATTTGTAAAAAAGCCTTATTACTACCTTATTATAACATGCATTGTCTACCTAATGAGCTTTTTGTGAAGAAAAATGCCCAGCAAACCTTAGAGTTGAGATATTTCTACATAGAAATCTGAGGTGTTGGAGCCCAGGTTTATATTATTTGTTAATTTGTCATACTGAATAACTTTCTCCACAAATTTAGTGAAGGACATTCATATTTAGGTTGCTTATAGAAAGAAAGTGGCTTACAACATACTCAGAAATACAAATAGAGGCAGTTAGGTGGTACAGTGGTTAGTGCTGGATTTGAGTTCAAATTCTGCCTCAGATACTAAGGAGCTGAGTGACCCTGGGGCCAGTTACTTAACCCCTCTCAGCCTCAGTTTTCTTTACTGTAAAATGGAGATAGCACCTACTTCCCAAGGTTATTTCGAGGGTCAACTGAAATAATATTTGTAAAGTGCTTTGCAAACCTTAAAGTGACATATATGTATGTATGTATATGTATGTATATATGTATACACACACACACAGACATATGCTATTATCACAAATGGGAACATAGGAAAAAGCAGGATCCAACTACTTCTACAGGTCTCAAGTTGAGCAATAACTCAACTTTGTTGCCTGTTGAACAACAAAACCACCAATCATTTTCCTGATGCACAAATGTGTCTTTTAGCTTCTTTTTCTCTTAAATTACTTTTTGAATTTCGAAGCACACAGAAATAGGCTTTGTTTGAAAATGGCAAGTGTAATTTTCCACGTTAAAACACATTGCATATGTGAAATGGTGGAGCAGATCCAGCACCTAGTCAGAATCTAATGTTTGAGGTGGTACTTAATAAATGCATCTTGATTTTTTTAAACAGGTATGTAGCAATAAGCTATAAAAGACACCCTTACAAAGATGAGAACTGAATGCCTCCAGGCAGAAAAGGGGACTTAATTGGTGGGCTAAGAAGGAGCAGGCTATTTGATACAAAAAGAGATGCTTTATGCATCATTTCCAAAAAACTTTTTTAAAGAAACACCCACTCTCAAGACATTTTTTATTTAAATAGTCACATATTATTGTTAGATTTGTGAGGCAGCTGTGAGGGACAGTGGTTAGCATGTTGAACTTGAAATCATACTAGCCATTTGACCCTGAGGAAGTTACTTAAACTTTTCTGCCTCAATGTTATCATCTATAAAATGGGAAGGGGAGAAAATTTACAACTCAAAAGCTTATGAAAGTGAATATTGAAAACTAAAAATAAATTAATTAATTTAAAAAAAGGAAAGATCTTGCCCTTTTCCACCTCCATACCTCTGTATTTAAAATGCCCTCCCATTCTTCCTTATTATTTAGGGCCTACCTCAATCCTACCTTCTCTGAGAGGTTATACTTGATTATCCATGGTGCTCCCTTCTTCCTCTGAACAAGTCATTTGATACTTATTAAATTACCTTTTGTTGTGACCTATCTTTTTACATGTGTGTAGTCTGTCCTTCTAAGTAAATGATATCGTAGACTCCCCACCCCTATCTCCATCTTGCTCTCAAAAGTGGGAATTATCTCTACAATGTCCCTAACAGGTGGTGATCTAGCTAGCCTCTGCTTGGATACTGTCAGTGACAAAGAATTTACTATTTCTCAAGGCAAAGGCATTTCATTGTTGGACAACTCCAATAATTGCAAAGTTCTTCAGAAGCAGAGCCAAGAAACATATACAATGACGGCAGTCATGTAATTGAAAACCATCAAAAATGAAGGTTACAAAGTTACAAAGAACCAGCTGGGACCCAAAGAAAAGATATGAAAAGCTATTCCTTCTAACCCTACTCCTTTGCAGAGGTAGGGAGGGGGTCCATGGGTAGGGAATACTCGCATGTACTGTAGTGTGTGTGTGTGTGTGTGTGTGTGTGTGTGTGTGTGTGTGTGTGTGTGTGTGTGTGTTTTGCTGTTTTCCCCCCCTCTTTCTATTTTTTTTTCTTTTTAAAAAATCCCTTGTCATAAAGAATGGCTTCCTGATAGGGGTAGGATGCAAGGGAATAATAATAGTGATATGAAAAAGATATCAATTTTTAAATATTTTTAAAGAAAGTTCTTTATATTCAGCTGAAAGCTGCTTCCATGTAAATCTTCTCCACTGGTCCTAGCTTTTCAAATTAGAACTACATATGTAGTCTTACTCTTCTATGTAACAGCCTTTAAAATATGTGAAGACATCTATCATTCTTCTCTACCTTCTCTACCCCAGTCTTCTCTTCTTCAGGCTGACCATGCCCTTGTTCTCTCAACTTTTTTCTCATATGACACAGTTTTAAGTTCATTCACTACCCTGGTCTTCTTTTGGACATGATTCAGCTTTTCAGTATTTATCCTAAGATATGGCATGCTAAAATGAGCAAAATCAATACAGGATGGTTGCTACTACCACAGCACCTAGCCTCTAAGACAGGGGTTCTTAACCTGGATGTCTGTGAGCTTTATTTTTTGGGGTTTTTTAAAGTACGTTGATGAGTGGTTTCCTTTATAATCCTCTGTACTTATTTTATGCATTTAAAAACATTCTAAAAAAGGGTCTGTAGGCTTCACTAGAGTGTCAAAGGAGTCCAATACACACACACACACACACACACACACACACACACACACACGCATGCACACACATGCACATTAATAACCCCTGTTCCAAAAAGTATTTATTACTCTAGATTCCTTGAGTTGTGATCAGGTCCTAGAAAGAAAAGCTCTAAGAAGGGTTAAAGGTCACAGTCATCATGAGTTAATTGTCCATCCTATCAACTCATTCCAGAGTACTTAGGCTAGGGTACCTTCTGACCTCTCCCTACCTCATTCATAACACACCTTAGAAGAAGCCTCACACCCCAAGTATTTACATATAAATCCAGTAACCTTACAAAATCAAGCTCCCTTGCCTCATGAAATCTGTTTGTGAAGAAACAATGAGATATCTTCTCCAGGAATCACCTGAGGATTTTATATCTATCTACTAGTGCCTGGATTGAAACACAGAGTAGAATACATAAATTTATCTTTATTTACTTTCATATATTGATGGACTTACTTTGTACATATTCTATGTTTCCTTTCCTGTGTAAATACTAATACTCTGCCCAGGGTTCTCACTCTGTGACAAGAGCAACTTCTACCCCATGCAGTCTAGACCAGTTTTTCCCTAAAGGTAATGAAACCATCCTCAACTTACTTGGTCCAAAGACTAAGGCTTGAGACACTGACATAGTTTCCTGGTCATGTAAGTACAAAAACCCAGTGCATAAGGAGTTGGGAGCATCTCAGGCTTGATACATGCTTCTGACCAACTTCTGAGTGACCATGGCAAATTCGGAGTCAAGGGAGCTGCATCTAATTGGATCAAAATGGTATCCTTGCTGATTAACCCTTCCATGCTATTGTTAGGTAAAGTTCTTTTTGTTAAATGTTAGATGTTCTATGAGTGTGTTGTTTCCTTTCCATCCTAATCCTAAGCCAATGTATTGGATAGAGGCAGGTTTGTTCTTCACTCCATTGTCTATTGCTACACTTTGGGAAAGGCAAGAATCACAGTGCTACAAGAATTATAAGAACTAACTTAAATAGTGATCATTTTCTACCCTGTGCTGCCAACTGCATTTCTGAAAAGTAAAGTCAAGCATTCTTAACCTGGGGTCCGTGAACTTGTTTGATAACTGTGTTTCAAAATAATTAGTTTCTTTTTGTTAGGGCTAGGCTTGACACCAGCATGCTTTTAGTTCAAGTTTGATTTTGGGATGAAATGAGGCACCAATAGAAGTGAATGAAAAGTTAACAAAGAGAGGTTTACTTAGCTTTAACATGATAAGGACATACAAGAAAGTTGCTTAAAGGAAGGTACTTAGCTTCTTTAAATGTATTTTCCCCTCAACCACCACTTTCAGTCCCCACTGCTCTCCATATAGGAATAAATCTGTTCAGCAGGGCAGGGTATGCTTATTTGCATGGTCTTCAAACATCCACCAAGTTGAATGGACCCTGACTCCATGTAAGTTGTACTTTTAGTTCCTTTAATAGACCAAGGGGCTTTGTCAAAGGGGCCAGGGGCCAAT